TATTCAGTGCTAAATTTGCTCAATCACTCTTATCACGCCATAAAGATTCTACAAAGTACTTCAAAGACTGTTGCTAACTGATAATTATGAGTGATAAATATTTAGTCAATAACGAAATCGTCTGTATTATATTCGATAATCAGATGGATGAAGTATGAGGCTTGACCTATTATATTTCAGAGAAGATAAACGTTAAAATATGAAATTATGTGGAGATTTTCCAATGTTTGCATTAAGTCAATCGTGACTAACGTCAAAATTAATTTCTGAAGTATTAATGAAAAGTTCTGACTAGTGAAGTCCAACTATGCTAAACATTAAGGATAAAAATAAATAAAAAATGTCATTCACAAGTTAATAAAATCGAAATTCTATCCAGAAGTTTACTATTATTTTCAAAATCAGCAAGCAAGAATTCCAAGTGAAGAATGATCATTAAATAATATTTATTTTAGAATGAGAAAAACAGGAAAAAAACTAGGGAATAGAATTCCAACTAACTAGTTTGAATGTCTTACGGGGTTGAGAAGATTAGTAAGTTACACAGCTGAAATTATGAATCGATCAATGTTAGACTACCGCTAGAAACCTGGAAGCACTAGACGGCCATTTCTTCCTGGTATGGTGGTGGTCTAACATTGATCGATTCATGATTTCAAATGTGTAGTTTGAATGTATTTGTTTTTTTTGTATTGTCAGCATTGAATTCCACTTGCATGATCTTCGATACACATTGTCACGTAGTTCTGAATGATGATGTCAAATTGCTAATGAGTGATTTTTCAATTTCACTGATAGTTCTCCACTTGAAGTTCATAAATAACAAAAGTTAACTTTTATTGGGAAAGTAATTCACAAACTTCTCATTCCCAAAAAACTTATTCCGATGTTAATAATAATTTCTTATTGTAAAAATTTTCAAACTTACTGATTAGCGAGTTAATCACTTAATTAATGATAAATGGTTCAGTATTAATAGCAGCTGATATTTCTCGAATAATAAATGTAGTGTAAGTTTTACCCGATTCAAAGGTAATATATTTACGAGTTTCTATTATCTCTTACCAAACATTTGGTGCTTAACAGGTACACAATCAGCGAATTTAATTAACTGATAGAAAACATAAGAATCTATGTTTTCCAAAGAACATTGAAGTATTTTAAAAAGACTATTGCTTACTTATTTACTGACACTCTCAATGAGAAAAGTCCACCTGCAAACTCAGACAAACGCTCTTCCTGAATCGCCTTTATAATAGGTTCAAATTACTATTCATTCGTTCGATTTCTACCTCCATCTCTCAGATCACTGTGTTCCTCGAACTTCTTCTCCGCCATTTGTGTTGAGAACTCCATGACAGTGACGCAGTCTGAGGTCTGCCTCAAAGAGTGTCTGACCGACTTCCAACGTTTACTTTATTTTATAGCAAGCTTCTTCATTGTATCATCTAGTTGCACCATGTTTTCTCCTCTGACAGCTTTTCTGCTATCATTGTTAGATCATCCGAATATTTTCACTTCTCAGCTCTGATGCTCCTCTTCACTTGTTTGTTCGCACCTGTGTATTTGGCTTGTGCCTTTTCTTGCTTCATTCCTATTAGATTGTTAGTGATTGCTTTCTTCCAATTCTTCTATTCTTGAGTCTTATCCAGAGTATCGCGAATGATCTAGTGCTTATGATGGTACATCTTGTGGTCCAAATCCATATAACAAATTGAATTGAAAGCTTGCTTAATCCCAGTTGTCCCAAATGCTTGTGTCTGCCCCAATTAGTAGGTTGTGAGTGGGTTGTAATGTATTGCTGAGAGAGGTGTTGAATTCCTATCGTTTGTAAGTGCCTAGGCGAAAGACGGTAATGAATTTTTGAATGTTGTTTTCCCAGTTGTCCATTGCTTCTTCAGTTTCATTTCCATCTTGACCACCACCTGGTGGTGATGTGAAGCTGTCTCAACAGCGCGCTTTGTTCTGACGTTTTCCATGATCGTTCTGAACTTCTTATTTGATGCAGGTGTGATTGATTTGGTGTGTGGTATGAAGTTTGATTTAGTTAAACTCCATGTGGCTTTGTGTGCATTTGTATGGAAATATGGTGCCATTTAGAACCATTGTTGCTGAAAACACATAGAGTTGTGGGTCACTTGTCGTGTTTGTTCTTTTCTCCCAATCCATTTCCTATCACGATGTCTTCACCCATGGTGTTGTCCATTCCGACCTTGATGTCTATGTTTTCTATCAAGATGACCAGGCTTTTTGTGAGCATTTCTCTACGCTTGACTTCAACCTCTCAGAAAACTGGTCATTATCGTCCTGGTTGCTATTGATGGTGGGTGAGTAGCACTGGATGATATTCACTCTAATCCGCTCCTTCAGTGTTGCGAAGTATGCTTTGATGATGCTTGGTCTACGAGAATCCCATCCTGTGAATGCTTCTTGTGCTTCGTTGGACAACACCAGTGCAACTTCTCGTGTGTGTGTGTGTGTGTAGCGTTGCGTCATCATCGTCGGAGTACTACATCCTATCTCCTGAAATTAATATTTTCTTTCCATCTTGTGTCCAGTTAGTTTCATTCATTCCAACTACCTCCATATTGCGTGTTTTCATTTTATCGACAACTCGAATCATTCAGCCGGTCTCCCATATTGTGCGGTCATTCAGTGTAGCTATAGTAGCTGTTGTTGTGGTTGTGAGGACTGGCACAGACCTCGTTATTTCGGAAGAAACTGGGTATTCACCATGAAATGTCATAATTCTTTTAAACGAAGACCGTCCAACTGTCAGAGTGGAGTTTACCCTCAGAGAATTTCTACAGCATGAGTTTTGAATTGTTTTATATGTACTACACATTAGTTGTCCAACAGAAAGTGATGAAAGCTTACCTCATCTTCATATTGTCCTCTCATGATCTCTTTTTTAATAATAAACCAGGTTTCTTATCCTAGATTATGAGTAAATTATTTTTTTATCAATGAATTATCAGGTAGTTCATGATAATGCGAAATACGAACGACTATCATTGATGACAAAGCCATTCAAATAACACATACTTCTTTCAAAAGGCTCCAAGTAGATTTCAACTTACTTTGATAAAAATCTTTAATTTTTTTTAGTGTTAAATAGTTATTTTTATTTCTATTTATTTTATTTGAAGAAATTAACCAGTCTGTTTGGATAATATCAATTACTATATTTTTTTTTAACATACAAAACATGTGATCATTATTATTATTATTATTATTATTATTATTATTATTAATACATTGAAAATAAACTGGTTGAGAGTTAAATGACTCAGATATTATTATTAAGTGATAGAATTACTTTGTGTACGTGTACGTGTGTATATACAATTGCTGCAAAAGAAGTGCTTGATAGTTAGTTATTTTTGATTTTGATATATTCTTATTGCTTATTATTATTATCTTTTTGGTTTGAATGTACATTTGCATTGTCGTAGCATTATTGGACAAACATTACGAACTTCTTAGGTTTATGCACATTTGTCTGTTTCTGCATTCTAACCCCGCCTTACCCCCCCCCCGTTCACTGTGTGTATCATCCACTGACATGGTTAAGATGATTGTTGATACTGTTGTTAATGTGTTCCATAATGTTTTTCATGTTTAACTTGTCATTAGGTCGGTTTTATTTTTACAATTGAGAAATAGTTGGTGCTTTTTTTTTGAATGCTAACTTTTGGTAGTAGTGTTGGTGATAGTGATGGTTGTATGTGTGTGTGTTGTGGTTGTAGGGTGGTCAAGATGGATGATCCATAAAATAAAGTGTAAATAAAATAATTTTTTTCTAATAGACACTATGGACAATAGTTTCTACAGTCTTTCGTATTCACTCACTCTTTCTCCCTGTCCGTGCACATACGGAAATGCAAATGTTACCTTACCCACACCCCCATGCACACACACAAACGCACTGTACACATTTAATTAAATTTAAATAGACAATTTGAATACACGCGTGTAGAAAATGAGATGAGCACAAAATTTATGATTAATTTTTAATTGCCCAGAGAGGTTAGTGATAGGTTAGTCGATTCAGATCATATTATTATATATTTTTTTTGTTTCATTATGTCCTTATTTGTTTATTGGTCATCTACTTTTACAGTATTTGCCTTTCTATGTATGTATGTGTTTGTCTGTGTGTCCATGAATGCCTTAGTACTATCCACATGCGGTATAAACAATTGTTACTTTTTTTTAAAATTGACAGATACAATTGTAGAAGTGATATAGGTGTTTCATTCTTGTATGCTCACACAATACAGCCATAACCATCACCACCACCGTAGAACCGCAATTTATTTCATTTTCATTCTCTCTGTTTCATGTAAAAGTAGCCATTCTCTCTTATCTGCTGTGTATGTATGTCTGTTGTTATGTGCTTATATGTGCATATTTCTACTATTGTACTTCACTTGAATATTTTATATTTCTCCCCCCCATCGTTTTAGTCGTTTAAAGTTTATCTGTTAAATGTATATTCAATTTTAATTTTTTTTTTGGTCATCATGTCCATAGGTCATGTAGAATAATAATACTCATCATCATCATAATCATCATCATAATTGTATGTGTGTGTATGTGATAAAGACTAAGAAATACGTGAATATATATATATATATAATACAAAGACTTGCTCATTGTTGTCCATTCCATTTTCAATCTATCACATCATTTACTAACTACCAATCTATCAACAACTAAATCTTTACAATATAAATTATGCTTATTCATATTATCATATCTTATATAGTTCTCAGTTAGCAATTTACTCTTTACACTGAAAGGACAATCAAAGTGGATATAATAAATAAACTCATTTATATTACTATCAAACAATTTTAAAGTAGTATTTATATAGTCAGTGTAGTGAGTTGGAATTTTTAAAAAAAACAAACATAAGAATACAACACAACCTTGTGGTTTACAGATTCGTGGAGAAACTTTTTATTTATTTATTTTTCTTAAAGAAAACTTGAGCAATGAATATTACATTATTAATGAATGAAGCCGACCCAATCCAATGTCAATCAGTAAATGTAATTTCCGATAATATAGATGATTATACAAATTTATCAAATGTACAATATATACACAAACATAATCATAATAATAATCATAATCATAATAATAACAACACTAGTAATACAAATAATAACAATAATAATAATAACAATCACAGTAATCATATTATGCTTATCACTAATCATAAAAACAATACCAACAATAATATCAATGAATTATCAACTACCGATTGTACGAATGCCGGTGATAATGTGGTAAGTGAATTTTTTCCTTTTCGTTTACCATACATGTCATTACGAGGTTGTGAAGAGAAGATTGTGAAGTTACTCAAGTGAAATCATGAATATTATGTTAGGCGTTTGCGCGCTAGACCCAAGGTCCTGGGTTCGAATCCTGTGAGGTGCAAGAGTCGTCAGTGCTCGCTATTGATGAGTACTATACATGTGTATACATGTGTAAAATAATCCTATAAATGATTCACGTTTTGTATGTTTAACTCTATTTTCTTTAAAGATTAACTTTTACATTATAGTACTGGTGGGGATTATAGTAATGTTTCATTGCGAAAATTTATATGATTTTTAAGATTCTATGTATTTTTTTTTTGTCATATGTTCATTGTTGATTATGTTACCCGAATGTCGTTTTACTTGTGTGCACATACTTGTGCATATGCAAATGTAATCACAAATTTTTAGTAACTTTTTAAGTATTTAACATTCAATGATCCCAGTATATGTTTATACATGCATGTAATATCTGAAAACTGATGTAGACTGACAAATAAAACGCATATACTTTGAGAGAAATGTCTGTCTAGATACATGGGAAAGCAAGCGCATACAAAATGTAACTATCCTATCAATTTTTTAATGATTAAAAGAAAATTATTTTCTATGTGTATGCCAACAAGTCTTTAAAAGTGTAATCTCAATTAATCTTTTGTTTTTAAGTCTGATCAAAAATGAACTAATTACAATGAAATTAAGAAAGTTTCATTGTGTTGTAGTTTTTTTAGTTAGTGAATTAGAAAATCTATTAAATAAGAAGAGATCCATGTATTGGGAAGATCATAGATTTCCTAACAGTTTCAAAATCATAAACAAAGACGAGCATGTCATTTGTTCAGGTTAGAATTTTCGGCATTATCGGAATGGTGAGACATGAATTATCAGTGGTCCTGTGATAATATATACTTTCAAGTCAATACATTTATTGATTTGGTTTATGATGAAAACAGTCCAACTTTCACTATTCACTGGCACATTCAAAATCTACTTCATCGACTTCTGTTTTTTGCCAGTTGACTTCCATCAGTGATCTACGAATGTTTGCAGTCGGAATTTTTTTAGGAATTTTGGGAAAATTTCTCTCCACTAAAGTTTTAGCCTACATTAAAAGGAATGATTGTGTATAGAATAGAGCTATTTGAGGAGTATTTCATTTCCAATCGAAAGCAGCATAGTTATATAGCAAAGAGCAGATTGTATTAATTAGAACAACTGGAATGGCCAATGTGATTTTTATAACGGAATCCGAGTCAGTCGATCATGTAGACCAGCCGAATTTTTAGAAATGCTGAAGAAACTAGAGAATGTGAAAATTCTTCATGAGTAAATGTAACTGCTTTTCTAAACGAACAAATTACATTTTTGTATTTTTAATGGAATCGAATTAACTCATTCTTCATATTTGGCCTCACCTATTGTACTGAATGATGAATAAGGCTTTTAGAACGGCTTAAGGTCATAAAAGTAATGTATGAAGAAAACTCAAAAAATCTAAAATACATTTTCAATTTAATTCATGATATATATATATATATATATATATATATATATATATATATATATATATATATATATATATATATGAATGTGTAAAACTTTATTGCAATAAACTCTTCCATACCACTTGCATACAGTTGAATGAATGGGTGATTATTTTCAAATGAAGATTATCAGTAGTTTCCAGGTGGTTACGGACCAGCGATCCAGAGTTCACTATGATGTCTGAAAAAGTTATTTATTGATATTTATTCTGATTTCAAATGATTGGTTTCTAGTGAAGTTTAAATCGACAAAAACTCACTAGGCTTTGGTAATCAGTAGTATATGCTCAGTTTCAGTTTTTTTGGTCAACTGTCATATGTGATACAGTTTTGTTTATCTCAACCGATTATTTTTTTCGTTGCACAGAATTCTAGTTCAAACTGTACCTCACCAAATGGCTCAACGCTTACCATGTATGGGACACAACATCGTTTTAAAGTCAGCCCAAATACATATCACGATCTGGAAAACGGAAACAACTTGACCATTACAACTGTTGGCCCTCGTTCGGATACAGATCTAGACTCAGCATTCCCACCGAAAAAGTTGTACACCGACGATATACCTGTTTTGTAAGTATGCTTATGATAATGAATTTATTTCATACAGACTAGTTTGTGTTTAAAATGAATTATCTCGATTATATGAATGACATACGAATGAAATTTGATAGCATAATGGCCTTAATAGTTACTCTGTAAAAATATGACCAAATCGGTCATAATCAAATCCTTCCTAGGTTATAAACATTGTGATTAAATTCTTACCATGTATATTAGACACTGATTAATTTATTGAATTAGAGTTATGAAGATTAGTGTTTTTTGCAAAATGAAATCATGAATCATTGTTAAATCACCATCAGAAACCTAGAAGCACTGGACGACCGTTTCCTCCCGGTTTGGGACTCACCAGCAGTGCACTTCCACGACTCCTGCTGGCCCAGTGGTCCAGAGGTTAAGCGTTTGTGCGCAGATCCTGCGAGGTGCAGGAGTCGTGAATGCGCACTCGTGATGAGTCCCATACCTGGACTAAATGGCCGTCCAGTGCTTCCAGGTTTCTACTAGTGGTCTAACAATGATTGATTGATGGTTTCAATGTGCAGGAAAGTTTATTGAAGTCCTGATTATTGCTCTTTGTTACATGAATACATAGGAGATCATAGTGATTGGTTTTCTTTCTTTTTGTATTTAATACCTGTTTGAATATTTTATCATGAAGTTAAATAACTCCATTTAAACCTGGAAAATTTTATGCAACTGATAATCTGATCATTTACAATAGATTCTAACTATTAGGATAACGAAAGATTCAAACAGTTAATAAGTTAATAAATCTAATTAAAAACTAGTTGAATCTTCCTAAGCGTATGCATACAAAGTATTCTAAGTATTGCAGGTTAGATGGATTGTAATCAGTAACAACTGTGGATTTTTTATTGCTTTAAGTTTCCTTAAGATATGTGTCAATATTATGATTCAACTTGTTAATTTTTTTCATCTGTACCTTTGTGATTTTAAGAAGTAATCCTCATTTATCATCCACTGTTAAGTAACAAGTCAGTTAGTCAGTCAGTTACAACGTAGAACTTCTTACATATGTACATCATTTCAGGTTGCCATACCCTTCCACGGTGTGGGCAGCCGCTAAGTGACATCCACCCGTAACAACACACGGGACCGAATTGGTCACAAAAAGATCCTTCCTATACCGCCTAACATCTCTGTTATCTCCACGACTAACTCTTCTCACACTCCTTTATCACCCCGTACCGTTAATGCAAACGATGCGAGTTCTTCGAACGTTAGGTAACAAGACCAATTCAACATCAGTTATTTGTCATAGTCGTGATTAACAGACTACAATAGTATATCCAGATAATGAATTGAAATGCTAGAAATTTTATTTTACTGACTGAAGTAGAATTTTTTAATTCCTCTCACTTATGAAATTTCAATTTAATAAACCAAATTTCAGAGAATATTATTAGAAGAAGTAAATAAATAAGGGTTCCATTGACTTTCGAATTTATTGTAATTAAATTGTTTCATTCATATCTTTTCGATTATTTTTATATGTTTAATAATGTTTATGAATGGATAGGGAAATACAAATTAAAGATAATGAATAATTTAGCTTGTTGATTTAAAAATAAAATATAAACAAGTTAAATCCAGTCATCTATTCATGTGATAAAATTTTAGCTTATTTGAAAAAAATTAAATGATAAGTGAAGTGGTATAGGGGTAGGCTGGAAGAAAGCTAGGGGTGGCCAGACCAAAACATGGCACAAATCCATGAATGCATTGACAACTGGACTAAGCCATGTTAAATGGTGTAGGCTATCTAGTTGAAGTCCGTGAGACGAAAGTCTCCAGTGTTTCGGGACTTTGAACGACATGGCTCAGAATCGTTTGTAATGGAGCAGGTGCATCCACTCTTTGTGTTCTATGAAATTCTAATCTTCTGAATTCTTCATCATCCCTATCTTTCTCTTTCTAAAGTTATCTCACTGAATTATACTTCTCGAATCATGTCTTCGAACCCTAATCTTCTCCATTACGGGTAATACTTCTATTATCGCTACCCCTATGGAATTTGAACTGACAGTGGCGTCTCTGTGCTGATGTGGTATGGCGACCTGAACTGATGTACGTACGTACGGAGTTCTACGTTGTAACTGACTGACTGACTGAAGATTAAGGCTTTGTCAATAGTCGATGATCAGTGTTGTCACATCTTAAAACATTACAAAAGTGAAACATTTTTCCCATTTTATTATATTTTTAATCTGATGAGCGTCATACTACCGAAAAGAATTATCTTGTCTTTCAAAGAAATATTATGATGAATACATTTAAAATTAGTAGTGTTGAATAACATGAAATTGTGCATCAAAACAAAAATTGGAATGATTTTAAGGTATTTGATAGTACTGACATATTACTGAAATGAATGAAATTTTCACTGTGATTTACTGAAAGCAGCTGAATACATTTCATCAGTAATGTGACAAGTGCTATGTATACTCATATATTAGTAATTTTATGATGATTGCAATTTAAAATGTGATGTAGTTTTTTCGAAATTTTTTATTGATGTAACTTAAAATATCGATGAGACTAACTTACGTTACTATATGGAATAAAATATTCCGATTAAATGTTAAAATATTTCTATTACTTACACTTTAACAGTATTTGATGGTCAAAGTGACATATCCCTTATAAGTTAAATAGCATTACAAACATTCGTTAGAATCAATCGATTTCCGGTTGATTTATTCTGATCAAATTTGACTTTGAATTCCATTTATAACCATAAAACAACTGCTATTTAATTATGCTACTTACAAGAATAAATAGTCCTGACGGGAGTTTTTTATATCAAGAAATAATGATAGATATGAATGAAATGGTGAAACCGAAGGTTCTGGGTTCGATTACCGGATGTGGGGTTGAAGATCTGATCCAGTGATGGATCACATACTTGTAAGAAACAGCCATTCCAGGTTTTCATTCACATCAGTTCATCAGTTACACTGTGAAAAAGGTTCAAATTAATGACTACAGTGGAAGAACTTCGAGGTAGTAAATCCTAAGAATGAACTTAAATTCTGCTCGGAACTTTAAGTACCTTAGATTTAGAACCATTCCAACACAAGTTAATTAAAACATCAGACTTGACATTCATGATCAAAACTTTAACATTACAATTTCACATAGGGTGGCATTACTTAGTTAATCATCAAAAAGTAAGAAATTATTCTTCATATCTTTTCCATACATTAAAACTAACAATTTTCTTATCTTCATTTTACGCAATACGCAATATATATATATATATATATATATATATATATATATATATGTATAATAAGCTTTCAGTGTCTGGTACACATGTCTATAAATATCAAAAGATTTACGGATTTGGGGCGTGGCACCTTATATATATAGTAAGAAACATACAAAAACACAAGAAAGGCTTAATTAAACAACAGAGTCATTTTAGTGATGGTAATGCTAAGAATAATAGTAAATTGATAAAAGTGAATCGACCAAGACATTAATAATAATAATAATAATAATAATAATGCGCACAACATAGTGTTGATTTACTGATAAATATTGACGATAATATTGGTAATAAGACTATTATGGTTAAAAATGATTCATCCTAGCTGATTGTATTTTTTTTCGTATTAAGTTTTCAGTTGTTACTTAAAGATTTTTTTTAAAATCATGTTGATATACATAGGTTAGCTATATGGATTTGTGTACGTTCATACACTAATGTATATTTGTCAGTAGAGAGTAAGGATGTGTAGCACAGAGTATTCTTATCAAATTTTTCTTGTCAAAATATCACCAAACAAAATGTCTGACTTATCAACAGATTTATAAGTCAAGTAGAAAGTCAAATTTTTTTCTCTTCAGTCTTTTCATTTTCTTTCTGATTTAATTATCTCTGGAAAAATAAATACATTACGATCAACCATACATTAGTAATCACAGTAAACAAATGTCTATTTGGATTATATCGATAACTATTGTACAATTGCATTCTAAATTGCCATTAAATTAGCAATAGTTTGATCGAGTAAACGTAACTAAATAGTGAATTAGATCAAGGTCTACCTAATAGATCGGAATCCAAAACACTTTATTTTCATAAGAAAGTTATATGCTACTGTTAGTAGCACAATTCGTAAATATACAAAATTCAGTATCACTTTTATTCAATAGTAAAATGAAGTAAATTTTACGATGATTTTTGTGGAAAAAGACAGTTTTGATTACAAGAGTGATCACTTTAGTTTGTAACATCAACTAGACTAACAAGAAACTGTTAGTTTTATAATTTGTAGTTCTGTTGTTTTTGTCTTCCACTTATTTCACTTAAAGAATCACTGGAATCAAGAAGAGATTTCAGTGATAGCCACCTGTTCCACTCTAACAGTAAGATGTGTTACACAAGGGGACATACTGAGACATTGAAAGTAAACTGAATTTTCCGGAGATCAACTCCATAAATCTAATTTCAGCGATTAAGAGTGATATTTCAAAGATATGATGTCGGGAATGTGACAAACGGATTCAGAGAGACGTCAGGAGAGTCGGATATATATAGTAGATTAGACGAGAGTTTGAAATAAACAAAGCCAAACGTTGCTGATTGACTGTTTCGTTTGGTATTTTAAAAATAGCTGTAATGTCAGAAAAATGGGATGGGATAACAGATGCCTACTACTAGCAGTGCATGATGGTTTCGTCTCAGTATTAATTAGATATATTCTTACAACTGTGGATACTTAAGATTTTGATTTAAGATGTTGTCACTATAGGCCCCCACAAGAGCCAGGTTATTTATATTTTTATTTAGTAGGAATTCAGGCTCTTCTGCTACGTAGGTAAAAACTATGACACCATCGCTCTTTTAAGTTCTTTTATTTTCTCTAGTTTACTAAACGAAAGCAGTTGAACATAATATATGTTTATGGATCATGAATAAGTTTTGTGAATGATTTTCTGTTTATTTACTGAACATTTTTATAATTTATCATCCTAATATGCATATTACTTTTAACGTATTAAATTGTAGAGAATCCTTTCCTGGTTTTTATGGTTTCGATCTGTATCGGCCATTATGTGGTGATACTTACGAAGCAAGCGAAACAAAACCGAGTACTGCATTCTTTGTAAGTAAACTGTATATGTAATCCATTAAAGCTTGATAAATTTATTGATTTGTCTTTTCATTGTTTTAGGGTTCACCTTTAGTTTATACAGGCCTCAACGAACTTTCTTAAATGATTCATATAAACTTCTATACTTTCTTATGCTAAGACATATATATTCGGTATGTTAACCGAATGATGTAATGATCATGTATTAGTTTCGGCACTGTAGACGACAGATACAAACAGATTTTAGTTATGACCATTTTAATGTAATTTCTCAAAATCATCATCTATGTTAAGTTGTTTTCAAACTGTATGCATCATTAGATTTGGAGCTCTGATTTATTACTAATGATAGTAAGATATTTTATAAATAATCGAATGATATTTTCAAATTCTTAACCGAAATATATACTAGTTATTTTTTTGACTCAACTACCAAAAATAGTGTGCATGACATTAAAATAAACCATAAACTTGTGAATCAGCGTGAGAAAAATATCTGTATTTATTATTGGACTCTCTTCTTTCCTAAATATTATTATTTTCCTTCTTTATTTCTTGTTAAATTGTAGTATTTTAAAGATGAACAAGGATGGACAAATTTATATGCAAAGAAAACACCTACATGGTGGACATTATCTTATTGGTGTCAACGTAAACCACCAGAAGGTTCATTCATTCGTTTAACACCGGTTTATGGAGCATCAGATAAACAACAGGAGGTAATCCAGAGGTAAGCTTTTTTCTATTGTATTAAAAAAGATAAACGTTAGTAGACTTTGTTGTAAACTTATTTTATTATTCATCATTGTTTCATTTGACTGGTTATTGAAACTTATCTACGTTTAAACTGGTTTACAGGAAGAACCAGAGTCGGCAGTACTCATATTGATAAATGTTCAAGGTTTATTGGCTCTCACGTCTAAATCTGTGTTCTCTGAACTTAATGATTAATTAAGGGAGAATGTCAGAATATATTTTTAAATTAAAAAGGAATCCTTTGATCCAATAGGATTCGGTAAAACTACTCCGGCGAAGTATCAATTACAATTCAATTCACTGGTTTTCTTTTCCTTTCAATATATAATCATAACAAATATATTCATGACATTTTTTTAAACTACAATTTGTTTTATTTAAATGGAAAACTGAAAATTAATTTTGAGTAGTGTGTACACGTAGATAGATAGTTACATGTACACTTATCCTTAAGGGAAGGGGATAAATAAACACTATCGTTTTATCCACAGATTAAGAAAATTCAGACAAGTAAATTGTTGGATTCCAGCGCAATTATGCAATGATATAGTATATACAGAGAGAAGTAAATTTTCTGAGTTTAGTCTCGTGTTTGTTTGTGTGTGAATATACTCATGTAGAGTTAAGAACTAGGTCAAGGCAGAGACGCAAAACTTTCCGGCTGTCAAGGTCACACAAACTGGCATGAATTCATAGTAAAAACTGAACTTCATAATAGATATAAATCACATGTAATCACTGATATAAAGCTTTATATTCTGGAATTCTCAGTTTAAACTTAAATTCATTTGCATCATGGGGTTGTGGAGATTGTTGAGTTACTTTTTGAAATCATGAATCGATCAATGTTAGACCACCATTAGAAGTCTGGAAGCACTAGACGGCCGTTTCGTCCTGGTTTGGGACTCACCAACAGTGAGCATCCACGACCCAAGACCTACGGTCTTGCGCGCGAACGCATAACCTCTGGACCACTAAAGCGGTAGCTAACGGTGTTAATGTCTAACTTCGATCTGTCCATAGTCTTGCGCAACCTCATCCACTGCCTTCGATGGGCACTACTTCACACCCGAACTGAGTTGAACGCCGCTGGTTACGACTTTTTTGTATCAGTTGTTTGAATCCTCCTGTATATGTTTAGGACTACAATCGATCAGTCTCTTTTGGCATCTGAGTATCCTGTGCGTATTGACTCGACAATGTCATTAAGTCAAAAGCACTGTAAGCAGAGATGGATCGCAACTAGCAGTACAATCCAAGAGGCGCATTTCGTCCTATTTGTGATTAGTTAGCTGAATTTACCTGTTGACTCAAAGCACGTCCTGAACATCACTGTCAGCCACCATTCATCTCTTTTTCAAACTTAATTTTGCTTTTATTTCTCATAAAAGTTTAGGTTTTCTTTCTCTCTATTTTCACTAATATGAAAATCTGATTCTTTCCAATATAGCGGAATATAAATATTTTTCTATCCATTGGGAATAGTTAATTATTCTACTATTCTACTAATAACTATCACACATAGTTTTCCAAGTCTATAATTTTCGAGAGGAAGAAAAATAAAGGCAGAAATTTTGCTCTTTTCTATCCATTCTTTACCTTGTCAGAAAAAATTACTTCTATCCCGCTCTATACTCATATGAGACATACATTTCTCCCTTTCATATAAGCTCTTTGATATTATTGTGTCACTTTTGTCTGTCTAATAAAGAAATAATTTTAAAGTAAGGATAATTTTCTATAATTTGTTTGTAATAGAGTGATGAAGGAAAAAATAAATTAGAGTATATGCTATTCAATTTTTAATTTTTCAAAATCATGTTGGTCAATAAAGTCATTAATCTATTTAAACTAGTGACAAGAAAGTGAATGTAAAATGAACATTTCATCATATGTGGTTGAATATGTCTAAAACTTAATGTGTTATTGTTTTCACTGAGAATCAAACTTAGTGTTTCTGTAGGGTTCGTCACTAGGTGCGTTTGAATACGAGTTCACCTTAGTCGATAAACGCAAACGAGATAATTACCAGCGTCCAGGTAGGCTACCTTGAATCCCAAGCTGAAGATAAAAGGCTTTGTAAGGGTAGAAAGTATATTCTACAAACACCCAGCAATCACAGTACAGTCAAGGATACAACTCTCGTTTATTTATACATCATAGAAACGTCCTTGGGACAGTTACGAAAATAGCACACTAAAATACATAGCAGCCAATCACAGCCATGGATTTTCCTGGTGGGAAACGAAATCTCAAGGTCAACTGATCAGCCCATGCTCGCAAACGTGAAATCTAAAATAAGGCATTTATCAAGCGAGTTTTGGGGATCTAACATCCCCAACAGTTTCCTACCATCGAAAAGGTACAATGACTATTAAGTTTGATGACATTACATTATGGGTTATCGTTAAATGGTTTTTCATTATAGCCAAGCGGTTGAATTTAAACCTTGTTCAAGGTTACTAATGAGTACATGAAAAGAATGCAAAGAAAGTTATGACAACTGTCTACCTACCAGTTCTTAGTTCAAAACGAAAACATCATTTCAATGAACTTTGTTTCAATACAATCATTAGACTATAAAACATTTAATTTATTAATAAACATTTGATTCAGATTGCTCTCAAACTTTAAGAAGCTATTGGAGTCTATAAGAAATGAACATTGAATTTTTAGCTTTTATTCATGATGTATAAATAAATTACTTCATGTTGCCTCTTTTATTATTATTATCATTATCTATTCAGATGTTTTGAAGATTTTATGGCGATTCCAACTTCTGGAATGGGGCGTTATAGCATTGTAATGGTTGGTAATTCATTGGCTGAATACTTTTTTGATCCGATAACTGAACGATTATGCGTTACTTTACCATATGAAACACCTAAAGGTAAACAATATTAAAAGCATATTTTTTTATTTCTGTCAGTTATATTCATTTAATTTTACTCTGGAAAACCAGAATATCTTGCACAATACATTTTCTAGAATATTCGTCATTCAGTCTACATTTAAGTCAATTGATTCGACTTAACTATATCAACTAATAGATATGAATAACAGTCTGTTATTCATGTTCCATTGTTTTGTGTAATGTATATAAAACTAGTTCTAATTTATATTATTTTATATATGTACATCGAATTTTTGGATTTGGTGCTTATGAAGTTCATCGACTTCCTGCTGGTTACTTTCAACTATCTCTATATTGTTAAGGAAAGATTTTATAAAAATTTATCTAGAAGAAATTTCTAAAATTAAAATACTATTGAGATGACTAATATCTTAGACTAAAGTCACAGTTAAGAGTTGTACAATCGTTGAATTCAGATGATCACACTACCAGAATCTTTTACTGGTATGCTTCACTTATTTTTTCTGAAATATACATTAAAATTCTTAAATATGTGTAGTATTACACTACTATTTTAGTCATTAGTAATTCTGTTATCAGTAAAACTCATAATCTTTTAATTTTTCGTCAAATTTCTGGAGATATCTAACTTAGCATACTAATCACAATCTAAAATTTAGTCTAACGATAATAAGTTCATGCGATAACAGATTAATAGTTTACACCTATTATGTTATCCTTTTTCATTCATACACATTAGATAAGTCAAATTAACAATTTTGCTTCATGACAAACTTCATCCATAGTAATAATCTCGTTCAATAATATAATTAGAACTGTTTTCTAACAAAATACAAACTGATATAATTTTTCAATTTAGAGTTATGGAGATAAGTGTTTGTTGCACATTGAAATCATCAATCAATTATTGTTAAACCACCATTAGAAACCTAAAAACACTGGACGGCCGTTTCGTCCTGGTATGGAACTCATCGGTAGTGCGCATCCACAACTGCTGCACCTCGCATGATATTAGCCAATAATTGACATTTTAGTGATTGATTATACGCTAGATTTTTCTAAATAGAACAACAGAATATCATTCTCTCTGTATTGTAAACACTCTTTTTTCTGTCAAATTACAGAAGGCTGTGAATATAGTCAATTCAATGGGAAATTTATGTGTTTCAATAGTTGTCTGTATAATGGTGGTCAAGGAAACAAGAAACCACTCTTTTTAATCATCACTTTAGAACGTTTAATAACTGGGTAAGTATGGGATTCATTGAAATACACCTTATTATATTTCATATAGTAATTATCTTTAGAATCAACTGATAATTTCTAGCTCTTACTTTGGTGAATTTGATTACGTGTTAATTTCAAACATTTTGAAACGATTTTTTTTCATTTTAGTACAATCTTAACAACTTAAAATTGGCAGATAAGGATTTGTATGTATTAATCATTTAAACGCCTCACACACAATTGTATTGATCATATTAAGTTTGGTTTTTTTTAAAAAGTTAAAAATTAAGTTTCATAAACACTTTCTGGTTTGGTTTTTACAACTCCTGAAGTGATATTATTATTATTATCATTACTATTTGTTGTTTTTTGCTTGTCATCAATAGATAGTTGGATGCAGTGTTTTGTATGTCATAGTCATATATAATATATGAATTAATATGTTGTGTTGTGTGTTTCAATGCAAGATTTGAATGAATTGGAATGGACTAGGTGAAAAGTTTACTTATAAGCTGTGACGAATAGAAAAAAAATAGTAAGAAGAAGAACGAATTGATGACTAGTAAATGTAAAATGTTCGTTTGTCCTTTGATCTATAAGAATGATATCATTTTGACTAAATAAGTATATACACACATCAAAATAGATGTTCGTATTTATTTACAAAAAAAAACATCTCCACATCTACTGTAGTGAGTTAAAAAAGAATAAAACAAAACACAACAAGGATGAATAACAATAACAATAGAATAGATGATTATTAATTTTGGTTTGTCTATTTTACATTGACATGCTTCAGCATGTTTTACAATCTTTTATTTTACAATTATATATTGAAAGTGAAAGTGTGTCTATAATTTTTGCTTTCTGAATATATATATATACATATATATATATATAAACTCCCCTGGAAGAGAGTTAGTTGACGATATGTACATTTGTGAGAGAGGGGGCTAAATATTCACTAGTATGATATAGAATGTATAAACTCAAAAATAAAATATATATTTTATGTACTTCTGATGTATTAAAATTTCTTAGTAACTAAGGTCATTTCAAAGCTATACATAAATTCATCATTTTATACACTGGTCATGGATATAACTTTAAGATTTATACCTATTTTTTTTTTGATTTCCATAGTAAATCTTTACATTTTGTCCTAATGTCCAAAACGATTAGACCATGTAGTGAGTGACCAGACTTGACCTGAACTAACCTATGAGTTAGTGAACTCGTTAGTAAATAGAATAAAAATAACAATGAAACTAATAATGAAGAAATAATTTCATGCTAATAAGAATTTAGTTTAAAATTGACAAAAATAAAGATGTAAAGATAGAGAAAATGTTGAGAAAGTCGATTTTTCTAGTCACAGGGGTTACTCGTTAAAACAAAAAGAAAATACTAAGGTTATAAAGATAGATATAAGTCTTTAATAGCAGAATAGATTAGTTTATGTTGTCTACAGATTAAAAAAAGTAAATGAATTTGCAGAATAAAACAATAGAACCCAGACATGACATACTGAGAGTTTATATGTGCGGGTGAATGAATCAGATGTTGAGTAGTTACTTGAATGTGGATGAGTTCAGGGCACATATTCATTCACGCACATCATATAATAACCACGTAAAATCACCAGTTCATAAAATTGAACAATATTTATTTAATGTGACCGTAAAGCAAAAATACTATTATAAATGATAATCTGTGAAGTTCAAAAAACCCACAAAACCTAACATCTTAAAACATTGTGAATTGACATAATGACAGGGACAAGTTAATAAGCAAGTTCACTTCAAAAGCAGTAAAGTTTGTAATTTTTGTAAGCTTATCAAGTCATAAAAGAAATTTAAACGAAGCCATAAGAATTGATGAAGCTCTCAAAATCATCTAGTATAATTAATATTTAAAAATCTGTGATGAAGTGCATTTTTCCGTTCGTTTAGACAAATGAATACGATCTGAGAAGCGAGATACCAATTAATAGTCACTACTGATTACTACTGATTATATTAAACTAAGTAGTTGTAGAGCATTTTAAAGTCTTTTCAATACTAAAAAATTTTACAGCCATATTGTGTTTGGATATTTCCATCATAATAATCGGCAAACACAATTTATTCATTGCAAGGAATCATTGAAAACATATATTGTGTTTCTTAATTTTCAGTTAGTTTGCAAATTGTAGTCATTACTTAGTTTGTCAAAGAAAATATCCTCACAGAAGACTACATTCAAGCATTTCCGTTGCTCTTAATCATACATATAATCACAAGTGTGTGTGATGTTTTCAACTGAATGGTTAGACTGACGTTATATTAGTGGATTCATGCCAAATTATGTATTGCCAGTGTGTTATTTTTTAATAAAAAACCATGAAAATACTACATGAGCTAACCTTTGAGGTAAACGGAGTGTGGGATTATCCAATAATGTCCACTAACTCTGAGAAAAGTGCAATTTGTTGTTAAACTTATTATCATTGTGTAGGCTGTTGAACATTATAAAGGAGCATTGACATGAATGGCTAATAGACTAGTTTTATCAGAAACTTACTGTCACTCTGTTGAGCTCTGATGTTGTCAGATTTCTACTTATATATATGTTCCTTATGTGCGCGTTCAAACCAGATAATTATGAGTGGAAACTGGAGTTAGTAGTAAGCTTTTAGTAGGAAAATATATGCAAAACTCATTCTTAAATGCAAGTAAATGTCCCACTAAAAACTAAGCCATATTTTCAATCTATAGCATACTTTTATTTCCTCAGAAAATTAAACTACAGCTTGACCAGTAACGTTTATGTTAGCATTTCTTACTTCTTGTTTCTGACTCGGAATATAACGATCGTTCTACTACTTCTTGTTAGAAGAAAAATCTCAGTGAAAATATTTATTGTTTCTTTTTGGTAAAACAGATCTGATCCAAGTAAAGGACACTGTGAAGTACTTGGGCGTCAATGTATCAAATTTCGTAGTTGTGCTTGTCCTAAACGAGATAAAGAGAATAACGAAAGACGTACTGGAGATTCTTTGGTAATTGGTACTCCTTCATTAGGTAAACGCAGAAAGGAATCAAGTAAGTGGATTGATTTAGTTAGAAGTTTGATAAATCTGTTTACACTGGTGAGAAATACAAATAATATTAACATTTGAACTGATGACTAGTAATGCACTTCAAATTACCAACTAAACTTATCTACTTAACTAATGAAAATAATATTTCGATCAAGTCGAAATCGAAACGTTAATTTTTATTGTTGTTCGTTGTTTTCACACAATAAACATCTAAATAAAACCTTTTAAAAGAAGATATAGAAGTCGACTTCAGTTTGTATGAGTGATAGTGAAATATCAACGTTGGATCTAGTGATTCTTCATTAGCTGATTAACTAAGAGAGATTCGTATTGACTATAGGTTAGAGGAAATTAAAGCATATTTGTATCATAGTTTGTAGCCGCAAAAAATTATTTTGTTTCATGTTTAATTAGTGTTAAGGAAATAATAAAATTTAGGTATAATTTCTGCATCAAAAGGTTACTTTTTAATTTGCAGTAATTAAGTATTTAATTTGTTTTATTCTTAAAACATACTATTACATCATTCCGACTTTGTACCTAGTAATGACTGTTACAAATAGTTTCTAAACATTTGAATCCTTAATTCACTTAATCATGGAAAAATTTGTGAACTAAAACTTATATCGATTACTATAGCTAACTTGAATTTGAAATGCTAATCAGTCGAAACTTAGGATTGAGGTATACAAATCTACTTAAGTATTCTATCATTAACTTGTTCGGAATTACTCCTAGTGAGATTCATTAAAAATTGTATTAGAAAATCACCATGTTGATAAACTGATATATATTCATTTGGTTTGATTGATCAGAATTATAATAATTTCTTACCTTAGGTGTAAGCTAGCCAAATTAGATCTATTTAGAATTTCTAAAAACAAACTGTATAAATTCTTGTGGTTATTTCTCAGTAAATCACATAAGCTGACAACTTACCACATCGAAATTACAGTAATGTTTGTCAGTACTTTCGCGTAATACGTAAAGATAAAAATATAGGACATTTTCTAAAAGTCATTTCAAGCTATGCATTTAATTTCCAGATGACCGTAATGATCGACAAGTCAAACGTTTGCGTTCAAATCAAAGACCATCGTCAGTGTGTAATATGAACAATCTCACTAACACAAATATTCAGAATAATAATGGAACAAATTATGAAAAAGATACCAATCTCTTACGTGACCATAACTGGTTATCACCGAATAATGAATATTTAATCAATGATGAAAAGTGTCCTAGCGAACCGAATGGAGTTGACGACATATTTGATTATTATGGACAAGAAAATGAGTATGATGGTTATGGACAAAATACCATTCACTTCAATGGAGAATCATACAATCTGTTGTTAGTCCCGACAAATTTACCTGGGGCTGTTGAAACGTTATCTAGTGTACGTTATGGTTTATTACGTGCATGGATCTATGCACTAGCTAAACATCATTACCATCATCATCATAGTCAACCGTATCATATGATGAAACAGTCACCATTGACAAGTGATTTAAACAACCGGAAAGATTCGAAAAATGACGCCAACATTATAAACCATACCTCATCATTAAACATTACAAATAATATGAATACTAATATTGTCGCAGGTAAAAATACTACAGAGAAACGATCAGATAATCCAGAGAATCATTACTATCCTACAGTGTCTGGAAATTATTCACAGTCGTATAATCGTGCTGTAATTGGAAGTACTCTGAATCATTGGCTTAAAACGGAGTCACACTTAGCTTCTCTGGTGTAAGTAATACATATATGATTAATTATTGTTCAGTTTATATTGAATAAATTATAAATATAAATGGTTAGTAAATAGAATGAGCCAATAAGTAGACAGGTATTATCGTGAAACATGTTTATGAAAAGTGGTTATAGTCTTTGAATCTGTTACAACTAGGCAGATTCGAATTTTTCAAAAAGATCAGTTTTTGAAACCTATCAGTATCAACATAAGCGATAGCTATTCCTACGTGAAAGCTACGACTAATTAAGTAAATCTGCTTTCAGATATAAAATTCAAAAAAAATACTGATATGTTAATTGAGGTCAGAGTTTTCAGCCTAACGGTCCTGTTTTGTACCACATATATAGTTCGATCAACTAACATAGCTTTTGGTAATATATTGTTCAGTCAGATCCTGACCAACAAAACTTTCCTAGAAGCTTTGAAAAACCCAGTTAAAGAAACGATTAACCTACAGTACCTTATTTTCGGTGCAAATTACTTGGGATCAATATTCACGAAGGTGTCATTGAAGAAACATGTAGTTTTAAAATAGTCATTCTGACCGCAGAGCACTGAGGAGATGTTTTGTCCTCAATATCTCATTGAGTGCAACTACAAATCTTGTGAAAACACCCAGAAGTAACTACAATGTCGTTCCTTTATGATGCCTGATTTCCGTTTGAATATGTTCGGCGTTCTTTTAGTCAATGAAGCATCTGACACGAATATGCATCATTTCAAGTTCCTATTTCTGAGATGAAATTAAAAAAGTGAATACGAGGCCAATAGTAACAAATCTATGAATGGTAATAGAAAATAACATGTCAACTACTATTGAAAGTTTATAAGTTTCCAAAAAATTCACTCTTACTGACAGACATTGGGAATAAAAACGAGGAACCGAACACAAAATTGATCAGACAGTTTAATATTTGAATAATATATTTCACCTGTATTAAAAACAGTTGTTTATGTATTGTCGTTTTCATATAGTCATCAGGATCTATTTTAAATATGTACAATTGGATTTGTGTGAGTAATCCTATGTCAGTAGACTAAGGTTAAAATCAGCTGCCCTGAATTAAATATAAGACCAGAAAGTTGGTATTAGCAATGACAGTAATAAATGATTTTTACTTTTGAAATAAGAACGAAATAATACTTTCACTTTAAATGGACATTTTTTCTCTTAAAATTCAATGGAGAATAACCTGATTGAAATAAGTATATGTTTGAAATACAGACAGTATAAATGTTGGCTGAAGTAGTATGGTATTGTTGTTGCCATAAATATTAAGTTGTATGAATCATACATGATCCAAAAGTAAATGTCTGATGAGTATGATTTCAGTAAATTAAGCATATTTATGTGACCTCAAATAAAAAAAAAACCTATTCATACTTCACCTTTGTAGTCAATGTAATTAAACTTGTCCTACACACTCATATATGCATGTATATAGTGCGTACATATATATATATATATATATATATATATATATATTTCTTGCTCAGCGATGTGTATAGTTGTTCGCACTCACATAGAATCACATTCACAATCAAAATATGGCGCATTTAGTTTCATGAGTTTCTAATCAACAGATAAGTTCAGCTACTTGTCCTGATCCTATTTCGTTCATGAATCAGATAGTATTTACCTGAAATTTTTCATATTTTGTGAATTGAACTGACTAAATCTACATTTTTCAGTGTTTGTTTTGGTTTCGTGAACAATAATTGTATTATTATGATAGTAAATTAATGGGATCATAAAATCCAGTAAGTAAAAATACCGATAATATAGTGATTATATAAGTGAGCAGTCATCTTATATAATGAAACATATATTTATGGTTTCGTACTATTATCTTAGCTTGAGGGTATTACTGGATAAATTAATAATTATATGACAGAGTAATGGTTCAGCTGGGAAAAATAATACTCTGTCACATGGTTCAAAATTTCTTAACAATGTAACAGTTATTAGTAATTTAATATTTTTAGCTTCTCCATTTGATTTGCTTCAGTAAACTACACTTTTTGACTGTACAGCAGTACTGTAATGCAGTTAGATAAGCATTTCATTAGTGCTTATCTTATCATGAATCAATAACCATTGAAAACGTATTCGATTCTCACCTAGAAAAGAAGTCCCTGGAATGTAATCTTGACTCATAGATTAGTCAGATTTGTACATTTCTAGTAAACTTCAGAAAGGAACAAACATTGTTTTTGGTTTATTTACTGTTGTGAATGGCAATCATTTTTAAAATCAAAATATATTTTATAAGAAAAATAGGATTTGACACAACTCTTTGGAATGATTGTTTCATTTCAAATATTAGATCACTTTGATTTCTGGTTTTTATTTATTACAGACGTGAAAGGATTAATTTGTTGAATACATATCAACAAACCTATCATTTCAGTGGCGATTCTACTGATTCACAACCAAATTCTACATTATCTACTGGTGCTATGGGATTTAATGGTACAGGAAATCTAGATGAACCAGTTAATATATTGAATCAAGATTATTTTAATTCATCTAATTTGAATGCATCAGTAGGTAGCGAATTAATCGGTTCAAATATACCACGTAATTTGTCTAATCATCAAACAAATGTGATGCACAATATGGCTGCGTATATTTTATCATCTACTAGTGCTAATACTACTACTTCGACTACTACAACTGCTACGTCTACAAATAGTATCAGTAATCGTGGGTTTACTTATAATACAGCAAATACTATTGATACAAATTGGTCATACGAAACAGATACTGATTTAAGATCTAGTCAGACATCTCATACAGGTCAGTTATATGAACCGACTCACTCAGGATTAATAATAGATAGTAACAGTAATAATAGTACTCTACATGTTGTATCAGACTTAATTGATCCTTATGCACTAGTTCAACAGTTACCTCAATCACTTTCATCATCCTCACCAGTTCATCAACACCATCATATTCATTCACATCATCCACACTCTTCACATGTTCAATCACATCATAATAATCAAATTCACTTACATCAAGTTATGAATAATTCAACTTCTATATCTAATAATATAAATGATAATCATTCATCAGCATTTACAACAACTGCATTAATTTCAGATAATACAATGAACACGAAATCATTAACACTAAATACATGTCTTGTTCCTCAAATAACACCGACAACAACGACAGCAGTAACCGATACAGGAACAATAGGGACAACAAATTTTGGTCATGAATTTAATACATCAAATTTTTATGCTACAGCCTACTTTAGTCTTAGTAATTCAAATGCTAATACTGATAATAATAATAATAATGAAACTAATAATAATATTATAAATTGTACCAATGATAATCAATCAAATGATATGACCGATCAAAATTCTACTTTAATTGAATCATTATCACGATCTACTATACCTTCGAATTTGAATCATCGAAGTATATCACAAAATTCTACATTATGCAACTATCAATTAACAAGTCATAATAATTTATCTGAATCACTTTTATTATCAGAAGAATTACTACATAATTGTTTAGACAATAAAAAGAAATGTTATGATGAACCAGATGGTGTTCATTCTATACTAACTAAGCATTTAGTGAGTGAATGAAGTTTTTATGCGTTTAAGTCATATTTGTATAACCAGTCAATAATAACATGATTGGATAGAAGTTAAATTTTTTATAAAATAATCCAAACGGTATTAAATGAACTTGGTTTTCAGATGACTGATGATTCGATGATACTCATCGTTAGTTGCATGACTCAAAATGGGCATCTTCAACTCGTACGGTTGATGATGTAGTTCCAAAGTGCAGCATGAACAGATCTTGTATGTAACCTTAAACGAATGTGAAGCGTAAATATGTGATGTAATGAAGCAATCATATTAAAACTTATCAAATAGTTTAGCTTGCAGTGTATTAAGGATGACACTATTAGTTATATAAAGAGAACCTAGTTTGACAAATAAGTGATCTCTAAAGTTTGTAATATTGTGTGTTATATTTTATACTTGACTTAAGCTGTTTGGATTACATAGGGGAAGTTTGTTAGGTCAATCCAGTGTATAATCGGAATTTTAAGTGGTTAGAAGTAATCAGGATAAAACCTTGCTTTTAGGCTTGTCCTTATTAGCCCTCGCCAGCACTATCCATTCTGTAATCTTGAAGAAACTGGTGCTCCTTGTTTGATTCGAATGTACAGTCTGGGGCTTCACAGCTTAAAACGTGACCACTGATGTACTGTGGCCATGAATGAAATATTTACAGCTGATTGCTCACTAATTAGTGACCAAACAGAATATAAAGTCTGAACATCATTTGATTACATTAAAAAAACAACCTGTTACTTAGATTTATTTGACCTTCATCGTCTAATAGCCTATTAAAAAAATGCTAACGTCAAATTATTTCATATCTTCTATTACCTACAAGAGGAGTTCCAGTCGTAACCATTGAGAAACAATGTTTATTATCATTATTTGTATGGCTAGTGAATGTTTTTGATCATAGATTATTTTACAGTCATGAGTATGATATCTGAAAGAAATCTTTTTCTTTAATTTCAGAGAAACACATCATTTTGTTTGTCATCTACGCGGTCTCCTGAATCATGCGGAGCTGACAATTTTGTTAAATTAGAAATTTAAAGCAGTTTTATTGTGAAATAACTTTGACATATTATTCATTCAAACTAGCATACAAAGTCAATACAATCTCTAATTCAGTTCAGTTAACTGATAAATTCTAATTAGATAAATTGGTACAAACACAATCATTGTCTATTTGATCCCATCATAATCATCAAGTTGAATACATTGTTATCCATTAATATTAATAAAACTTATTTTTGGAAAAAATATAACCATAAAGATCTACAAATTATTTCCATCCATATTCAGTTATTGTGTATTGAAAGTTTTCATTTATTTTATTCAAACATTTGTATGCATATGCATTTGTACAATTAGAAATGAAATACTTGAAGTAACGTGAAGCGAAGACTCATCTTGATTCTTTATTTTACATTTATCAACTCAACATCATTATTTGCTACCAGACTGTACAAGAGCATGTTCATTATAAGCTTAAAGAATAAACCAATTATTTGGGTTGTTTTATCTTGTTTCATCTGTAATTTTGTCTTTTATCTTTTTGGCTGTCGCATTTATTGTACGTCTCCTGTCGTCATCATCATCATAATCATCATCATCACCATCATTATCATGAACTTTCTTAGGATTTTTGATAAAATTCAATTTCCTTTGTCAACTTTACTGTCATCTACAAAATATTTAAGCGGTCATCTATTATTTTTTTATTGATGTTTTTAGAAACATTCAGAAATAAATACACTGCATAGCGGCGCTCTATTGTCCGTCCACTTAAACTCATTCCTTTTTTTAATGCTAATACAAGTATTATTATTGCTTTCTATTAATACAGTTAAATACAAAATTTTACTTTTTTTTCGCATTACTTTCTGCTTATTTTTTACACAAAAGTATTGTTTCTTATTTTCTTGGCTCAATCAAAAAAAAATACATACATATATCGTATACATACATAATGTCGTTCTTAATCCTGCTTAGTCTGTGAAACCAGTGTAATGTGGTACATCTATAGATTAGACCATGTTTTTCTTGTAAATAATATAAATCATTGGAAAGCAATTCTCGAGGCATGAGACAGAATTGAATTAAAATGTTTCGACTTAATTAGGAATATTTTTAATTTTTAGTTTTTAGAATTATCAGTATCAAAATGTACACAAAAACACGTAAGTGGAAAACTTATGTTATCCGTTTGAAAATCCCAATACAAATACTTATTTCGACGAAATTTAAGACCTTTTTACATCACATAGAATTATTGCTTCTATAAACAGTATGCAAAAATACCACATAAGTGTGCTAAATCATAGCGTGAAGTTTTTAAAAGTATGGATAGTTTATATTTGAACTACAAAGCTTATGTAAAATAACTTCAAAGTACTTTGGATAGTTAGGTTTGCTATTAACCAATTAATAAAATATTTTTTATTCTTATCGTTTTATTAAAAACAATAAAACTTCGATTTGTTGTTAGGTTACTGATATTCCTTAAGCATTACTGTTACTTCAGGTTATTTTAATATTCGTTGAGTAAATTTTGACTCCATAAAAGGTTTTGAGTTTGAAGCACAAATGGCATGTGGTTTTAGGTAGTCCATGATAAATACATTATATCCGCCAACAGTTAATTTGGAATAGCTAGTTAACTAAATGATGGTAAGTATCTTGGAGTAATTTGTCTATGTCATAATTCGGTTTACTTATTCCATCAACCTGTTTGTGCACATCAGTGAACTATATGCCATAAGTTTTGTTAAGAGGATAGCTTACATTTGGTATGAAGCAAATGTCCTATGTACTTTAGTAAATGTTTCGATGTTAGTCTCACAGCAATTCTGTTGACAACAGTGAAAGTTTAGTTGTAATTAATCCTGTTTGTTGATCAGTCACTGATTTATATTATTTGATAAAAAATGCACTATGAGAGAGTGGAGAAGTAAAAAACCCTAGATCAATGAAAACTGACTTAATAGTTTTTTGTAAACATTAATTATCTGGCAGTTGTTTGTCGGCATTGTAGCGTTGATCCTGTTGTTTAGAGAAACATGTTAATTTTAGCCATGATTGTTTTAATCGAGTTTAGTTGAGTTAGTCTGAATACTCATAATACTGTTGCTCCTAAAATTCACTGTCAACCACAAAAGTGATTCGTGTTTGAGTGAGTTAGCTTCTGTGTTTTTGTATGGATCAGATAGTAATCCAGACTAGGAAAATCTGTCCATAATATGGCCTCTTTTGATACTTCTGACGTGAAAGTCTGAGAAAACCTGTAAAGCAATCCAAAGCCCAGAATAAGAGATTGTTCTTCGGATGTTCGAGTTTCAGTTTTACTGGCTTTTTGTAGAATTATACCATTAGAATTATAGCTGCTTTGTTGGGAGGATGATTTCTTTATGACACTGTCCACTTACTCCGTATCACTTAGAGAATTAGTGCCAAAGTATCTGTCAGTGCTTAGAAATGTAGTGAGTGGAGGGTCATTAACAGCTGGCATGTTTACTGTTTATTGCTTTCTCATGACTAACGAAATGTTGGTATTACCTAGTACATATCTGGGATGCCCTCCTGTTCCTGTTACGGTTCGAAGACTATTGCGACGTCACTTTTGGTCTGCAGGAGAACCACATTCCAAAAAACATTTTTGTGTGCAAATGGACATGGGCTGTCGACCGGAATAGCGGAAATCGTCTTCGTTGGATGATAAGCTTTGAGGGGTTTCTGGTGTCCGCGGTCTGACTCCACAATTAGTGTTCAATGAAATTGTGGTGTTTGAATGAACTAGTAACTTCTTGTTGTTGTTGAATGCTTGATTTCGAATTCTAAATACAATACATTCGTTTGTGCATATCTTTAGTTCTTGATTTACATACTTCTAATTATCACACTGGCATCGCGATGGAACTTGTAATGGAACAGCTAGATATTCATTCTACTTCTGAAGCTTTTGAAGATTATTTGGAAAGGTTTGAAATCTGGAGTATGACCAGGAAAGATGTCAAAGATGATAAAATTGTGGCTCATTTCCTAACATTCATCGGAAAAGAAGCGTACAGCTTATTGAAAACCTTGGCATATCCAGAAAAACCTATTTCACTTCCCTATGCAGTGCTAAAGGAGTTATTATTGAATCATGTAAAGTGCCCTGGTTTTGAATACCGTGAAAGGGCGAAATTTCATAAGATGATTCGTCAAAATGACCAAACTGTTAAGGAATTCATTCTTGAATTGCAGAAACAGGCTGTCAAATGTAATTTTGGTGATCAACTTCATGTGCAGCTGAGAGACCGATTAATTGCAGGAATTAACATACCTAGTTTGGAAAGAGAGCTGTTAAGAATGTCAAACTGTTCCTTTCAAGATGTTAGAACTGCGTGCATTAACTACGAGGCGTTGAATGAACTTGATATTCAGTCGATGAAGATTTCCAATACTTTGATTAGTTGTCATGATGAAAAACAATCTCAGGGTCAATCAAAATTGTGTTCGTTTAACAGTGGTTCCGATTCTCGTGAAAATATGAACTGTGTCTCAAAAAAGAATTACAAAGGATATCAAAAAGGTGAGACCAAGTTTGGCAAATGTTTATCATGTGGAAAATTTCATTCTCGTCACTCTTGTACATTTCGTAATGCTAAATGTTTTAGATGTGGTAAGATAGGACACATTCAACCAGTATACAAAGCTACTGTTCATTTTGCCTCAAGTAGTACTAAATCTTGTAATTTAGATCCCAATAATTCAGCTGATCCTAATGATCATTTATCTTTAACTACCATTTCGAAAGGTAATGCTCATATTCAAAAGCGACTATATACATCGCTTGGTTCATGTCATGACTTTATTGTGGACACAGGCAGTATAGAGTCCATTATTTCATTCAAGAACTTGAAATCGTTAGATCCGAACGTTGTGGTTCGACCCACTGAAGTATCAATATTGGGGATTACTGGACACAGACTGCCTATACGAGGATGTTGTGAATTGCTAATAAGAGATGATAATTCCTCATACATACCTTGTGAATTTTTAGTTAGTGAAACAGGAATGTCAATACTGGGTTTAAAGAATTTGAAAAGACTTAAAGTGGAGTTGTCTTTCCTAGTTTCTAAAGAAAATTCTGATGCTTTACCTGAAGATTCGATAGCCACGTGTGCTAAGTGCAATGAAGGTATGAAAACGGTTCAGCACAGGAGTGCCAAGCAAATTCAACATGTTGACTACATTTCTCGACAGTCATTACAAGATAAACCTGTTAATACTTCAGACTGTTTGTTGGTGCAACCTTTACCAGTGAAACGTCCACATCTCATTAGAGAAACTCGTAGAAACTTTGGATGTATAATTAATGCTATACAGAAAGGTTGGAATGCTAATCTGAAACGCAGATTCCCTATCTATTTTTCAAAGCGGGATGAGCTATCCACTACTCCTGATGGTATTTTTTGTTTAAATGATCGGGTTGTTATTCCTCCTTCATTGCGTAAAGCTGTTCTGGAAGATCTTCATAGTGGACATTTAGGTGTTGAGAAAATGAAGTCCTTGGCGAGGCTCACGTGTTGGTGGCCAGAGATAAATGCAGATATTTGTCGTACAGCAAAGAATTGCGAAAAGTGTCATAAGCTGAAAAATTAGCATTCGAAGTGGACTGATTCTATTGCCGCCTCAACATTTAATGAGCTGGAGAGGGGAGTAGATACCTTTCTACTGCAATATAGAAATGCTAGACATTCGGTGACGAAAGAGACTCCATCAAAGCTATTAAAAGGAAGAATTCTTCGGTCGAATATGAGATGTTTGGAGTCTGCAGAAGTCACATATTATCTTGGCAATGATCTTCGACCATCCACGGGGTTTGTTCTGAAGAATATCGGGAAATCTATGATGCGACTTCTAGATATCAATGACTTAAGTACACACAATCGACATGTTGATCAAATACAATTCCAAGAACCAGGTGAGTCTGTTCCAATTTCGGTTGTTAATTCTAATACTAATGAGAGCATTCTAGATAACACAGAGCCTTTATCCAATACACTGTCGGACAGACACAGGATGAATTTGAGAAGAAGACGTACAATTGATTACAGACACTTGGATTCCAATTTAAGCTGTGGCGGATGTGGTGTTTTTATGAACTAGTGACTTCTTGTTGTTGTTGAATGCTTGATTTCGAATTTTAAATACAATACATTCGTTTGTGCATATCTTTAATTCTTGATACATATACTTCTAATTATTACAGAAATATAAATCTTTCCTTTAATTTCGTTTAATTTAATTGGACCAATCCTGTTGGACAACGGTAGTATTCCAAGCCATACATTAATATAAATTTGGAACGGTTTCAGAAATTTATTAATGCAGACAGACAGTATGGAGTGAAACATTGACAAACGATTTTCAGCCTAGTCAGTTTTATTAAGCGTGAATCAAACTCCTGGGCATAGAAGAGATGCAGGTAGGCATTCAAACACATACACATAGATACACGTAAAAATCATGCCCAAGGTAATGCGTGAGTAATCGGTGAGATTAAACCTATGTGTACAGTGCGACTCAAAAAATTAGACTGATTTATTTTCCTTCAGAATAATTCACCCAAGAGTGTAGTAGTATGATATAGATCAGCTAAATGTTGTTGAAAGGGTACTAATTCATTACTTCCTCTCAGAGAATTTCGATCTTCGCATCACCTTAATGTTGCTGATTGTAAAGACCAGTATACTCGGAACACCACTCTAGCTACAGGACTCTTTAATCAGATGATTTAGGTGAAGACGAAAAATGTGTAATAAACATGTGATTATGGTAAATGCAAGTATAAAATGAAAAACGTTTAAGAAAATACGTATTTCGTGGACTGAAAGTGGTAATAAATGACAAATACAGAAATACTTACGTCGGACCTAGGAAATAAAAGTTTGAATGCAGATAAATAACCAAAAACAATGTGAGTGAGAATATTACGATCAGTTACAGTTGGATGATGCCTATGTCCGTAACGCCTTGTAGATCGAAGGTCAAGTCAATCCGAAAAGCAGGGACAGAGAAGATCGATGGTATATCAGGAGGATGGTTGGGATGTAGAGGAGTGAGTGAACTTAGCTTGCTAGTTACCTCGAGAAGGTGTGTTGCACAACATACGTAATGGTGATTTTGTGAGGATGCGTGGCCGAGCATCTTCATTTAGGGTATGTCCACTAAAGCCAATGAGGTCAGCACGAATGTCGAAAGCTTTCAAAACTATTTACATTAGGGATTTATATACCGCTACATGAGAGTGAGTGAAATGCAGCTATAAAATGTTACCTGCAAGCTCTGTGGGTCATTGAAGGGAGGAAGTGTGGTATTTATATCAAATGATGTGTCTTTTGTACACCGGCTCGTGTCTGGTTTGATTTTCCAAAACAATAAGTTTGCTTATGCTTACGGAATTCTTCCTGAACTCAATGTTGATTCATACGTGATTACTAAAGTACATGTAGGATATTTCTGATGAATTCTAGTTGGTTTAAGGAATACAGCCACTCATGATAATCACAGAAGTTCAAACAATTTATAACTTCATGTTCAATAAATGCTTTTTCCGAGGATAATATTTAAATTCCATTGTTTTGGTAATATACTAATCAGGAAAAGCCGAAACGGAAAATTTCAATATGTTCTAAAAAGTTATTAGTGATCTGGCCATTTAGCCGCAATGCAAAAGCGATCGATGAGAGCTGACAGAAGCGGGTGTGTTTTATGCACGGAAATCGGATGAAAAAATGTGTTTAGTACAAGAAACTGAAGTTATGATTTAGACGAACTATTCTTTCAGTGGATATTTAGAAATGCCCAAAACGAATATTATAAAAGCAATTCACAGTAGTACATAGTCCCTAATCTTGAATTTTTGATATTTACGATCAAGTGGCAGCGGTCGATAATTAACAAGAAAAGAGTTGTACTTTAGAAGGCTTACGGTATTTTTAGCCAGATTAGCTATCTGGCGCCACCAATAAACTAGTAGAAAGTGATTAATTTACTTGTGGTACTGGATTTTCGATTAAATACTCGAATACTCGAAGTCGCTGATATTTCGCGTAAACGAGAGTCAAACAGCACGAAAATTCGACTGTGATAAGTGAGTATACGAAAATAACAAATCACAGACACATCCGTTTTGAAGCCCTTTGTTACTGGTAGTCCTATCAAGAACGCTGCTGTCGACAATAGCCTATTCACTGGACTGCTGCAAGAGAACATGATCGAATGTACTTTCTCGAGTTAAATTTTTATTGGGCCGCATTTGAGCACACTGGGAAAAATATATATCAAGATGTTATTGATCATAGTAGTTTCACTTAAACTCATTCACTTACTGTGCCATGATTTACTTTCCATTACTTATATATCTGCCTATATTTATAGAGTTTTTATCTAGATTTTGTCTGTTTTGCACTCTCCTTTTACCCATCATCTTAAAGCTGTTGATATTGTAGTAGAGCACTTCTTCGAAGAAAACTGGATTGGTGAAAAACAAACGTTTACTATTGTACTCGTATTGTTTAACTGTACCAAAGACAATTTTTTGCGTGCAACGTTCTTTTCGCGTTGCTGCCATCTTTCATAGCCTGCTGCTCGTTATGTAATGACTACTTTCTCCTTCAAATAAATATTGAAACATGGATATACTTCAATGCTTTGTGATGGGATAGCAATGAACATTTAGTGGTGATCATAGTCAATGTCGACTCGGTCACCACTAAAATATCATCAGTCAGCTGGATGTCTGACAGGGAGCCAGCAGCTTGTTTCACAGCCTTGTTTATTCGGAATTAACGTTCTCGTATTTGAAATATACTAAATTCCAAAAACTTGTCAAATTCTAGAGGACTATTAGAATCAAGTGGATTGAATATAACACGGACATCCAAGTGTGTGACTTCAAACTGGTGTGCGCAATAAAAAGGATGAGGCCAGTTTCCATAGAACTATCCATTCCGGTTTAAATGGCTCGTTTCAAAATCCGACAACGGCTATTGCTTCAGAGGTGCACCAGGTGATGAGACAAACAATCAAATACCTCAATACCAACGTAAGAGGACCAAGGGAAAAGTTTTTAGAAATCAGGAACGATCTGAGATGGATCTGAAGATAATAAACCTAACCGAAACATGACTATCCTCTGACATTGCAGACAACAAAGTGATCTTGTAAGGCATGAAGCCCTTCTGAAGTGATAGGGTTGTCGTAGTACCTATTAAACATACCACTTCGCGGGATAACAAGTGTTAATCCCGTTACTCTAGTCATCAGAAAAAAGAGATTCTAGAGGAAGTAGTATATTTAATGCTAGCCTTGTGATACCGAAATAATCACGAGACTAGGGTACATGAGCATCTGACAACGAGCTAGGAAAGGATGCCGACAGGCAAAGGCACGCATGGGGCGCAAGAGATAGTCTTTAGTACAGATAAACAAGATGTGTACAATATAACAATTATTGTCAGAATTAAGTACAATAATAAATGTTTATATTTCAGTATACCACTACAAGGTACACCAGACAGGGGGCAGAGAGGCTATATGTGTTAACATCCGTTTAAAAACCGAAAGACTGCACGACAAACAACTAACTGAGGTGGAAGAATCATGTTGGTGTTGTTTCCACACAAATGACACGAAACACCTGATCGGAGGGTTTTACCGACCCCCTTTAGGCGCTAAAGCCTAAATGCATAAACTGAATGAGGCAATACCGTCAATGCCACTCCTTGGGTTTGATCAAATATTCTTATCTGGAGATTTCAACACCTCATCGCTAAATCTCAGAGAACAGGGCACAACCCCAATTGGTTGGTTCCAAAGACGATTTGGTGCAGCCGTTATAAGCTCTGGAATGATTATGCATGAAGAATAAAACTTACGAAGACAGACTACAGCACTTGGGATTAGTCCTACTGAGTTACATGAGAATCAGAGGTGATGTGGTAATGGCCTTCGACATATTAAGCATGCCAAACCATCTCAACGTGAGCATCTGACTGAAGCATCACAACCACGCCCCTCGGGGTAATCCTCGAAAATTGTGCATCAAAGAGCAAACATTCAGGTTCGTGCACACTTTTTCTAACCAAGAGTTGTTGCAGCTTGGAATAACCTATCAGCCGAGGTGATCACAGCCCCCTGAGTGGACAGCTTTACGAACAGACTTGATGAGCACGTACTCACATACGGATGATCACCTCCCTCGTGGACCAGCTGTGCCTGATGCATATCTTGAAACCCGCTATTTGTTATTTTGCCATCTCCTCAGATCGTTATCTTCATCTGTCTTGCTTATGATCCCTGTTTCCTATACCTTGCTTACATTTCGGTCCTCTAACACAATCTCCACTACTAATTAATAAACTAAATTATCCATTTATTTACTGAGTTCTGAAATCTTCTTATTAACATTAGAATATTCTCTTGATTTTCCTTCAGACTGCAACTAATTTTTTTCCGGAGGCCCTACTGCCTAGAAACAAATGTGCTTGTTCAAATCACATGACATAAACTCACAAACAACTGTCATCTGACTAGAATTAGTGCAGTCGAGTGGACCCCCATCGACTGAACACCTGGAACCGTACTGAAAGAACAAGAATCGAGCGCAAAGAAATCAATCTATACTACATCGTGAAAAAAAGATATTGGATATTGGAAGCATCGGAGTCGAAGACTTACAGAACTAATTATTTTAGGGTTTATATATCATTACCGGATAAGTTACCTTAAAAATGGGTGACTTAAAGCCGTCTTTAAGTAACAAGGGTTTAACGTAAAGAAATTAACTGGTGAACAACTGACCTGCAGAAAGATATTGGACGAATTGTTCTACCGCGTAAACCATTAATGGACGGTACATTGGGATGGCATTAGGACGTAAAAATGCTGTAAGTTGTTTGTTCTCTGGCCTTTAATAGGCTAACTTTATATATTGTTATTATCCTTGAAAAGCCTTAAATCTTTTGATCTTTCTTGCTCTCAACCCAGTTTGTTAGACTTTACAGCCACTTCCAGGTCTGAAACCAGATTGGTTTTCTCGAGTCTGCTCTTTACAGACCTGGAAGTGGCTGTATAGACCACATATTCACAATACGACAAGTCCTGGAACACATATACGCATTTAGTCTTATGACAGTAATTGTCTTCCTGGAACATAGGACGGTACTTGACTCTTTTTTTTTGATCGTGAGGTTTTGTGGCAGTGTGTCATTGAATGGTACCAGAGATGTACATTAACCTTATACAGACTCTCAACTTAAACACTACAGGTCGAGTCAAAGCTTATGGCGAACTTTCATTGGAATTCATTACTTCAAGTGGTGACCGTCAGGATTGTCCACTCTCCCCATTCCTGTTTAACTTTGTCGTAGACATGCTTTTAGCAGTAACACTATCTTCGTCTCAAATTTCTGGGGTTGAACTACCAGGAGACTCGCTTGCTGACTTACGGCATGACGATGACACAGTTCTACTTGGTAAAGCCGCTGACAACCCTAAGGAACAATGCAAACATTTTCAGGATGCGGTTTTCTCCGTTGAGATGCGAAAGGTTGGCTTACGTCGGCACCTAAACTAGTGATCGAGAGTGAAGCAGTTGAGCGCCTTGGCCGCTTCACTTAACTGGGGAGTCTCGTCAGTACTGATGGTCTGGTGTCTGACGAAATCTCAGCAAGGATACAATAAGCTCGATTGGCTTCCTCCAACATGCGTCACTTATGGCGTAGACGCGATATCCGTTTGCTGACTAAAAGACGAGTGTGCTGCGCAGCAGTTCGCTTTTTCCTACTTTATGGCTGCTTAAAATGGCCAGTCAGAGTAGAAGATATTCGTAGGTTATTGGTTTTCGATCATAGGTGTCTTCGAAGCATTACTCGTATATCCTGGGACTACCGAGTGAGCAATGCTGTTGTTAGGAAACGGGTGCTAGGTAAGGATGACAAATCAATAGGTGAAATATTGAAACTTCAGTTGAGGTGGTTAGGACATGTGTTGTGTATGCCTAACCACCGACTGCCTCGTCGAGCTATATTTTGTTGTGTAAGAGTAGGTTGGACGAAAGCTAGGGGTGGCCGGACGAAACCACGGCACAAATCCATGAAGTCACTAACAAATGTACTGAGTCATGTTGGCAGGTGTCGACTACCGGGTCAGGGCCCACAAGATGACAGTTATCGATAGTTAGAAGCCCTGAATTACATGGCTCAAAATCGTTTGCAATGGCGCAGGTGCATTTATTCTTCGTGTTCTTTAAAATCCCAAACTTTTTAATTTTTCATAACTTTATCTTTGTCTTTCTAAGTCTATTTCACTAGATTGTACTGCTTGAATAATATCTTCTAATCCTTACCTCTCCGACTACTGCTAATACCTTTACTACCTCGACTACTACTGGATTTGAATTGACAATTACATCTCTGTGCTCATGTGGTATGGAAACATGAACTGATGTTCGTACGTATGAAGTTCTACGTTGCGATTGATTGATTCCAGTGCTCAAGCTGACTCTGCTCCTCATCGTAATCAGAGCATGACGGGACCAATTTTCAAGCATCCATCAGTTTGGCAGATGCTACTGAGATCCACTGATTCTCCCTAACCTTATGGTTTACCTTACTAGCTCAAATCACTGCCGTTTCTACCGACTTTTGAATATCATTCCAAGCTGCCTCAGGGTGGGCATCACTTACTACATGGCTGCCTAACTGTTATTATAGTTGTTCATAAAATACACTCTTGTCTTTGTCATCATTAAGTAGAACCCTAAGAGGTTTCCTTGCAGTGTCTTTCCTACGTCCTGTAAGACCCACACAAATACGCGTTCACACGAGAGCATAGTCTGAATCCAAGCAAGTGGCCCAGAATGTGCGAAATTTTTTGATAGAGACTCCCCACCGATGGCTAGTAGCGATGTGATCTGGTTGAGTCCAGCGCTGAGACGACTTTAGGGGTCGCCATGTCACAAGATGTTTTTCCTTATGCTTGAAGTTATTATTTGCTAAAAGTAGGCGGTTATCTGAGCATAGCTGCAGCAGACGGTCACAATTGTCTGTTTGATCAGCCGCGACACCATAAGAACCACCCAGGTGTCGTTTTCATTTAGTCTACCTACGTGAGCAGTAAAGTCATCAACCATTGTTGCTACAACATAGCCTAACTTTTTGAAGGCTGGGAAGCTTTCTGTAACACTCATGTTTTAAATCGTCTGAGCTGCAATCAGTTGGAGCGTAGGCAGAGACCGAAGAGGCAACGGCGAGCGACTCCATTTTTCCGAGTTCTTACTGTCTGTCTAGTTGAACAGAGCATAAGCGACTTTCTACTGGAATCCAATTTATGTGCGCTAGTTCTGCTTTGGAACCCAATGCTATGCCTACACTAGTGAGGCCATGGAAAGCAGCAATGGGGCCTCCAAATATACGAATGGTAAATTGCGATGGTTCTTTGTTTTGATGAGGTGGAGTCAAATAAATAATGCTGCTCGGATTCTGTATGTGCGTTTCGGAGATTCAGCATACATCGATGCCGCGAGATTCTAAAATTCTAGCTAAAGAAGATTGTTTCCCTATTTGACACAATGTTCGAAATTAAAAGCTCCAATATATAGTTTAGAGCGGGGTTTCAGTAAACCAGGAATAACGTTTCGTGAGCTCGAAACGTTTGCATCAGCGGCGCCAGGTGATATTGCAATGAGAGAAGGGTCGATCGCGGAGTTAAAATAGTTATTAGGAGGTGTAGGAAGGATTTGGTTGACACTAATTTCATCTCGCGTGCTGTTACGGGTATGAAGGTGGATGTCACTTCCCGGCTTCCTACACTGTGAAATGGATTCTTGAGGAACTTGAAAAGGAAGGTAGATTAGCGTTGGTCTTAGGGCGTGATCGCAGAGCCCAAAGGACAACTGCTTTAGGCCGGTCATGCACGGTCTTTTTATGGGAAGTTTTTAAAGTGTTCGCTCCGCTTTTGTTAAAAAACCTTACTGCGGGAGGCGGAAATCTGTGAGGTAAGGTGAGGAGTAACAGTTTTAGGGCAGAACTTTTCTAACCGCTCCTTTCCTTGTGAGAAGGCAGCATCGCTGCAGATGCTGGTTATCCGAGGAAAACACCATACTGCTGTCACACCTCTTTACAGTCAGCAGTACGATTTCGCCCTCAGACCTTGAGTAGCTGTTTTTAGTCTCATTGTTCTTCAATCGACCTGCCTGGGATGGCACAACCTACAGAAACATGTGTTCCAGCCAATATAGCTCGGTTGGATCATCACGACAGGCAAGCCCGAGCACCACGTCAAGGAAGCAGCTGTGGTCTGCTTGAAGCGAGAGTAGCTTTTTCAGTTGTATCCGCCATTTTCGTATGGACTAGAACACTACCCGGCTGTTCAGAAAGAAATAGGTAGATTTTTTAACGAGCCACTCTTCAAAGATTCAACCTATAGGTCTTATCACTAAGGCAGTGAGACGATGTTAAAGGGCAGAGGTTCGGTCTTATGATGGCCAGTGACCAAAACTAGGTTTATTTACCGCTTATTACCCCAAGATTCTGGATCCTGTGTATACCACTGGTTTTAAAGCAGGTTTTTCCAACTCCCTTGGATGGATTCTCCACACCTACGTTTCAGTAACAGACCACTGATATGTGTCCTCACTAGAATCAGCGTCCTCTAACTTATCCTTTCTACAAAAATAACATTGTCCCTGAAGTTGATAATTTGTTAAAATGTTTGTTTACGAATTTTTCTCTGTTTGTGGGGAATTTTTACATCCATATCAAACTGAAAGTAATTCAGTCCAGGGTTTTTAAAGTAAAATACAGTTTTACTAAAAATTGGTAATACACTTTTCAAATCCGATTTTTAGACTCGTCTACCTCCAGAGGTAAATAGAATCTTGCTGGTAAAAAACCTACCCTACAACATATCAGCGGAAGAGATGTATGATATTTTCGGCAAGTATGGTGCTATTCGTCAAATTCGCATCGGTAACACTCCTGAAACGAAAGGAACCGCTCTAGTTATTTATGAAGACATTTTCGATGCTAAGAACGCTTGTGATCACCTCAGTGGCTTTAACGTTTGTAACCGATATCTCGTAGTTTTATACTACCAGAGAAACAAGGTAATCCTTACAGTTTTATTGTGTTGTTTGCTTCATATAAATTTGTGTATTCTCATACGATGACATCAGCAACAATCGTTTATCCATAAAATTTATACAGCTGTAATATACAAGGTGGTAATATTGTAGTCTTTGTGCTGTTAAAGAATGCAAATGCAACACTAATATATCATCTGATATTGAGGCATCCTTAGGTTAAAGACTTAATCATAATAAATACAAGCACATTCCAAGTTTCCAGTCTGGAACGATTACTGTACTGCTAAGATAAAAACATTTAGCGAGCTAAACGGTATTCTAGTGCTTATATTACCATACTTAATTTTTATGTTCGACCTTACTAACCGTTTCTGGTTAGCGAGTCGGCTTTCTGCTAGGGGGGGTCCCTAAGCCCATACCTAACCCTTCTTTTTTATCCGGGTTTGGGACCAGCGGTAACCCGGGAATGGCTCCAGGCGGAGTCGTGTTTGACCTAGCAAACCAAAGTATGCATTTTGAACTCAACTATTACAATCAAAACTTGTAGTCTGTGGATTCGTATTAATATATCAGGCTTTTGAAACCCGAACTACATATATACAGTTTATAGTTGTTCCTTATGATTTTTACTCTCTTTTGCAGCAATTTAAGAAAACTGATGTAGATAAAAAGAAAGAAGAATTAGATCGATTGAAGGCAAAATATGGATTAAATACTCCAAAAATGAAATGATTCATTTTACAATGGTGATGTTTTCTCCCACTAGACGTTATTTAATCCTTGTGCAAATGAAATGTGTAATTTTGACAAATCAACCAACAAATAAAATGTATAAAAGTAACGTGATCATTTTTGGACAGTAAACTTCTAATGACAAAAAAATGTGATCATGTTTCAGTTGTGCTGTTTTCCATAAAAAAAATCAAGAGTAATAAAACGGGAGAAATTATTGTTTGTAAAGCAACATCCATTCACAAAGATAGCATTAGAAATATCAATACATAACAACGGGCATATAAGTGGGTTATATATAAGTTTAAAAAGAATTGAATTTCAATACCTCATTTGGTATCGATTCATGGTATTGTTAATAAAGACTGGTTTCTAAATTTTCCGAAATGCTGTTAGAAATCATGCATATAAACTCAAACAAATGGTTACTAATCAGTATGATGGTAAAAGAAGGAAGAAGGATTTCAAAAAGGTTTGTTCGGAGGATCCCGCTATGCTTCTGATTGGGACAGTTTGCCTGTAAGACGCGAACAGAAATAGTAAGAAAAAACTAATTAGTTTTATTATGTTTTAAGTCAGTTATACATGTCAGATTTACAGAGAATGAAAACTTCGGTGATGATGCAGAACGTTTCAACAGGTATAAACTCGCTCTCCAGGTCTTGGGATATAAGCCACACTAAGTGTGACGGCTAATGTCACCACTAGGTTTCTCAAACTGAAGTAGGTGGAATGGGATTCGAACCTGGAAATAAGTAACAGAATTTCGAACACTCTAAGCCACCAAGTAAGTGTTATGGTATAGTCATCTTGAATGGGAACAGTTTTGATTGTTAGCAAGGAAATATAGGACAAATGGTTGGTCAGTAATGCTGTGATAGATAAGATTGCGAACACCTTATGAAGTCGTTGAAGAAGATTAAGTAATAATTTTCTAAGAAATATTGTGATCTACAAGTACAACATATAGTGTATGGTTTATCTAGAATATACAAAAGTGGTTGCCTCTCCATTTCGTTTTAGATGCAATCGGTGTAACCAAGTACTAGAATATGAGCCGTACCGTAGATGTGAGGATTAGTGATACTACTCAGTTGTCCAAATCGGGGTTTGGTGGGGCGATTTCGAATCCGGGACTTAATGGCTAAAAGTTGAACACCTTAACCACTGAGCCAACTCTCCCTCCTTAGCGACTCATGATGCTTTTTTTCCATCAAGATTTCCCAGTCTAGCCATGTAGTATCTAATCTGTTAGTTTTATAATCTGTTTCAATTTGTCCGTTAACAACAATAGTAGTATAAATATCTTATTCACCATTAACTTTGAATTGATTTCCTAATCATTTGTAACTTCTTTCAGAGATATTCTAGAATTCGCAATACTGTTAAATAGTTCACCCTTCCAGCTTTATCGTTAATTGTTAAACGAATATATGTGAGGAGCTAGTTAGGAGGAACTATTTCTTCGTCCAGTCCATTTTCGATTTAAATCTCTAAATATGTGTGTATGGTAAAATGCTCCGCCGTGATATGTATTATAGAAATACTAGTAATTCATTCAGTTTATATGATGTTAAGTTGGTCACCGGCTGTCATCATACTACGTCTAACGTCTCTCCAATCCATTGTGGGTAAGACCTGCAGCTCAACGACCGAGGAGTGGTCCCCAGAAAAACCTGTTTCGGTTTGGGCACCTAGCGGTATTCCAGCTCACACACAAATTCGATGATTTGTGTGGCTCATAAATACTAAGGTACAAATATTTGTGTTCAAATAAATAAATGATTTTAAGTAGTAGATAACAGCTTTTTCATTCTATGAACGCAAAAACGTATCCCGTGTATTCATTTAAGTAGTCTCTTATCATTGTGCTGAATACTGTAGTGTGTACTAATACGTCAAGCTCACATCGCTTGTCCCAGACTTTGGATACATTAATTGATCCATTTTCGAGTTATTCATACATCTTTCGATCTTGTCAGTTTTTTGCTTATAACCTTGGTTGTTTTTACTTGAATGCGTATGTGCATTGGTTGCTTCGCTTATCACATGCCTAGCTTACATTCGTGTATTATTTTTAAAATAATTGCAAGATATTTTCTGATTGAAAGTATTTATTTTCTCTATAAAGAGATGGTGATCACTAACTAACGTTTTTTTTGTTAGGTAATTTCTGATCATTTGCTCAAAAGGAAGTAGAATGGATGTTTAATTATTTTATATTCAAGTGTTTTGTATTTCACACAATCATAAAAGTGCTTATCTTAGTGTGGTGGCGTTTAGCGATAATGTTTATTGATGTAAACATTTTAATGAACATACATCACATATTCGGTTATTCTCTTCTAATATTTTTTATTCAACATCGAAACAAACTGTTTTATATCTTTTAGGTATTTTTGTGTTAAGTAGTCTTTTCATTAAGATCAGTTTCCTAACAAAATTTTATTCACTTACAAACCTATGAACATTCATTAATTTGATGAAATGAATTATTAAATGGAGTGAGTTTTATGAATAATTCAACTTCTTCCGAGTTTATATTGCATAGAATAGAGTTTTTTGAAAAATCGATTAAATTCTATGATTGCATTTTTACCTCACCCCATTTTTTAATTTGTATGTTTATTCATGGTATATACATGCAATTAACATTGAATAAAATAAAAATAAATCATGAATTAAAGTTAGAGCAAATAATACTCACATAATTATTTGTTGAATAATTACTAAAATTGAATTTAAGTTCCTCGGAATGCATAAAATAGTTCATCACATCTTTCTGGTCCAACATGTTGTTCTAATTGAGTTCTATTCATTGTATATAAATCCATTCCTTTAAATCCTTTTAAAGCAGATATAGCTCTGAAAAGTTATTTGAAAGAAAAATTATAAATAAACATTGATAAAAGTATGATGAAATATGTATGAACAGTATTATCAATCGATTGTATGAATAACTTGTTAGTATAATGATATTTTGTTTACTGAAAGATTCTAATTGTCAGTGGGAAAAAACAACAACTTAATCTTGACAATTTATTTACAGTAGTCTCAGTTTATACATGAATTTGATCAACATTTCAAATATGGTTAGTTTTATGATAATACTTTTTTTTTAAAGAATTTTTTAATAAAATTTCATTTATATAGGTTACACTTCTTTTAATTCTAAGTAGTTGTTAGTTTTGAATATAAACTTAAACTTACAAAATTGTTTAATCGGATAACACACTAATAACATCGGTTAAATATACATACATATAAAACAATTAAAATGCTTACTATGTATATGTATGTAATAGACAGTTACAGGTATTTCATTCATATAATTTAATTGCTTTTTTGACAGCTACACAAATTGTATATACGGATGTTTGTTAATTCTGATCAATATTTGATTATTTATTGAACAATAGTTAACATTCAAATCGACAGTATTTCTAGTTAAGAATGTATGAGTTTTATATGGTTGAGATTTATCTATATTCATTTCTATTCCTTACATCTTAACCTTTCAATAAAGAGAATAATATGACTTATGTTTTTAAACTTCAATCATGAAAATGTTTACAATGGAACCACTTTCTTACAATTGTATCTTTATTGAACTAGTATATGTAAATCAACTCATAGCTATGATACATTCATCTAGTTGACTAATATTTTCGTGAACATAGTATAAATTTTTAGATGTATTTTATCGGATCACATTGCAAGAATATCGTTATATTTTTCATAATTCATTCATTCAAATCTAGGAAAAATTCTAAAATTATTAGATAAATGTTTAACGAGTTCGACAGTGAGTGACTGTCAAAGATCTGATTGTAAAATTTGTAAGATAACTTGATAAAGTTCACTTGTGTTGGGTCGCTAGGAATGTGTATGTCTATGGAAGGCTTGAATTAATTGAATTTAGTACAGCAATTGTTTCAAACAGTTGCTACGATATGATCATTTATCAGTTTAAATAAAATAACGTTGAGAATGTAAAGGAATATTATCTCACTGAAAAACCAAATGAAGGATGTATGATTCGAATAGAAACATGTATAAAACAGTTCATTCTATTTATGATTTTAAAAAATCAGTAAACAAACAGTAGAGGGTCTTTTTTTTTCGTTTAAGGTCATCGATCGTATATTTAACATGAAGGTCGAGAACTAAAAGAAATTACTGATAAAGACTGGACACAAATATATTTTTCAGGAATTTCATTCATAATTTTTCTAAAAAGTTTGTCACATCTTAAGTTCACTTTTTCATGTTTAAGCACTTACTTTGGTGAGAATTGATGAGCAACTAGCCATTCGGCAACTTCTTCCTTGGATGCATATTTCGATAACCGTTGATCAGGTTTATCAAGTGTTGTTGAAGGTATAGGGACTGATTTAAGACCAGTCCCTCCTCCAAGTTGCATTTTAGATAATCTTTCTCTCAATTCTCTGGTCATAGTATGCATATGTGTAGCTATAATACACAAATATATAGCATAAATTTATAAAAAAAAATAAAATAGAATTATTATTATTATTAATATATATATATATATATATATATAAAAGTTACCACCATAATGGTTTGCATGAAAAAACCGATTGTTTAAAGATAGATACATGTAAGATGAACTGAAAAAGATTCTTTCTAGTGCTTTTTTTTCTCTCAGAGTTTTACTTTTGTGATTATTATGTATGACATTAATTGCTTTGCACCCCAAAGGTATAATTGTCTATGATGAGTTATTCTACACTTTATACTTTCTATACTAATGGAATTGAATCATGTAAGTCAAGTGCACTATTGTAATGTAGTCGTGTTAAATGGAAACCTTCAAACACTACTTATATATATCGCAAAAAAGAGTTGTTCGAATACAACACTCCATAACGTAGATAAGATAAGCAGTATGATCTCGATTTAAATTGAAACTGCTGGGGAACTAAACAAACAAATTCAGTAAAAATCAATCAGCTTCATTAGACGTCACCTATTTTTTTACTGAATTAAAAACAGCTTATCAATCACATATGGAGTAAACCTGTGCACGTTTGAGAATTGGATTTTCCTATCAGTCACTTAATCACTCTGCTCTCAATTTCATCTGACGACAAGCAGTGTTTAGTATGACTGTTGTTCTTAATCAGTGAATTATATATATCTTAACGATATTAAAAACAGACATTCACTTTCTCACTGGATGCCATATATTCCTTAATTAAATGTATCTTTTCTAAGTATTAAGGATGTAAAATCGATAATCGATTCGTTAAATTAATATTGCAAAAAAACTAAGAATCTCTTCATCATATTCTTTACAAAAATATTCACTAATATATACATATTCAAGTTTCAGGAATGTTCAATGAACGATAATAGTTTTGTAAATGTTTCATCATGCACAAAAAATAATACGAAGCCAAAATTTTACTGTATATAACGTATTTTATCAAATAACATCAAGAACAAATTATTCACAGTTTAATGATCAAGTAGGAATACATCCTATTTCGTTTTTGATAACATACGTAAATTAATTAAATATTGTGTGTTGACTTTCTTCACTATAATAATGTTTTCGTTATTTCTATACTGATTATTATTTTTCTGTATATGAATATACTTTGGTTTGATTTTAAATATGTTAGTCGACTTCAAGTTAATGATTGTTACTATGAAACACTTGAAGAATGGTAATAAATGGATATTTTCTTTTTTGTATTGAAGTAATTTCTTATTCAACCTAAAACTGTCTGCCAATGTCGAAAATGTGTCTATTTTTTAATGGAGTACGTCTATAGAACCTTCGGGGCTACTGCCGGTCCCAAGCCCGGATAAAGGAGGAGGGTTGGCAACCCCCATCCCACCAAAAAACTAACTTGCCAAAAAACGCTAACCAGAAAAAAATAAATCAAACTATTTAAACTCTGCCCTGGGAGTTGGAAGAAGAATTATGACGTCGCGTGATCAAAGTCGAGTTCCCTCGGAAGTCACGGGACCGATGCCTCTTCTGGCAACCAGAGCAACCATTCTTTTAGGTACATGGAGCTTTCGAATACTGTGGGAGACTGGAAGACTATTTAAATGAAATGACATGAAAAGCTACTACCTGGAGGTGCTTGGAATCAGTGAAACGCATTGGACGCAGGTAGGACAACTGAGATTAGCTTCAGGGGAACCGCTGCTATACTCTGATCATGAAGAGGAAAATGCTTCACATACACAAGGAGTTGCACTGATGCTTTCCAAACAAGCGCAAAAGGATAGGGATCTCATGGACCCAGGATAATCGAAGCATCCTCCAAAACAAAGAAAGAGGACATTACAATGAACGTCATCCAATGCTATGCACCCACCAACGACTACAATGACGACGTTAAAGATCAATTCTACGAAAGGCTGCAGTCAATCGTTGACAGATGCTCACCAAAGTATTTGACGATTTTAATGGGAGACCTAAGTGCCAAGGTTGGCATGGACGGCACTGGATATGAAGACATCATGGGACGACATGGATTGGGAGAATCGAACGAAAATAGTGAGAGATTTGCAAACCTATGTGCCTTCAACAAACTGGTCATCGGCGGAACAATATTCCCACACAAGCGCATACACAAAGCCACATGGATTTCACCGGACCACACTACTCACAAACAAATCGACCATGTCTGTATCAATAAAGAGTTCAGAAGGACCATGGAGGATGTGAGAACCAAGAGAGGATCTGACATAGCCTCAGATCCCCACTTGCTGGTCGCCAAAGTGAAACTGATACTAAAGAAGCACTGGACAACGGGGCAAACAATATTATAGAAGTTAAATACGGCCTTTCTTCGGGATACCGTAAAACCCAACGAATTCAAGATAGCCCTCAGTATTAGGTTCCAGGTCTTGTAGGATCTACTCAATGGAGAGGAAACAACCTTGGAGGAAAATTGGAAAGGAGTCAAAGAGGCAATCATTTCAACATTTCATGAGGTTCTGGTTCACAAGAAGCACTGTCACGAGGAAGGAACAAGAGGGCAGCAATCAATGTCAGCCGAGCAAGGGCAGAGAAAGTTAAGGCGCTAGCTGAATACACAGAAATAAACAGGGAAGTGAAGAAGAGCATCAGAGCAGACAAACGGAAATATGTGGAAGATCTAGCAACGACGGCGGAAAAGGCTGCAAGAGAAGGAAACATGAGACAATTGTACGATACAACAAAGAAGCTCGCTGGAAACCTCGTAAACCAGAATGACCAGTGGAAAGCAAGGAAGGCAAAGTAATCAGCAACACTAAAGACCAGCCCCAACGAACTCACCCAACATCGAAGCAGCATCCACGGACCTCTCAATCGATGTTGGGGCAGCTACAATTGAAGAGATCAGTATGGCCATCATACAAATCAAGAGTGGCAAAGCAGCAGAACCAGACAACATTCCAGCAGAGGCAATCAAAGCAAAAATACTTCATATTCTTTTCAAGAAGATTTGGGATGAGGAACATGTACCATCAGACTGGAAAGAATGATAACTCATCGAAATACCAAAGGTGTGAGAACTACAGAGATATCACTCTTCTCTCAATACCAGGCAAAGTCTTCAACAGGGTATTGTTAAACAGAATGATGGACTTCGTAGACGCCCAACTTCGAGACCAACAGGCTGGATTTCGTAAGGATCGATCGTGTATCGACCACACTGCAACATTACTGATCACTGTGGAACAATCAATAGAATGGAACTCACCACTCTACATCAACTTCATCGACTACGAGAAAGCATTCGATAGCGTGGGCAGGAAAACACTATGGAGGCTTCTTCGACACTACAGTGTGCCTGAGAAGATAGTTAACATCATACGGAATTCTTATGATGGATTCAACTGCAAAATCATGCACGGAGGTCAGCTAACAGACTCGTTCAAGGTGAAAACCGGTGTCAAGCAAGGTTGCTTACTCTTACCCTTTCTCTTTCTCCTGGTGATCGACTGGATTATGAAGATGTCGACATCTGGAGGGAAGCACGGTGTCCAATGGACAGCAAGGATGCAGATGGACGATCTGAACTTCACAGATGACCTAGCTCTCCTATCGCACACGCAACAACAAATGCAAGAGAAGACGACCAGTGTAGCAGCAGCCTCTGCAGCAGTAGGTCTCAACATACATAAAGGAAAAAGTAAGATTCTACGATACAACACAACATGCGCCAACCAAATCACTCTTGATGGAGATGCCTTGGAGGACATTAACACCTTTACATATCTTGACAGCATAATCGACAACTAAGGTTTATCCGACATAGATGTGAGGGCACGGATTGGCGAAGCAAGGGCTGCATTTCTACAATTGAACAACATCTGGAACTCAAAGCAAATATCAATAAACACTAAAATCAGGATTTTCAATACAAATGTCAAGACAGTTCTACTGTATGGAGCGGAAACTTGGAGAACTACGAAAGTCATCATCCCGAAGATACAAGTGTTTATTAACAGTTGTCTACGCAAAATACTTCAGATTCGTTGCCCAGACACTATCAGCAACAACGTACTGTGGGAGAGAACAAACCAGATTCCAGTGGATGAGGAAATCAGAAAGAAGCGGTGGAAGTGGATAGGGCACACACTGCGAAAAGCACTCAACTGCATCACAAGACAAGCCCTCACTTGGAACCCTCAAGGCAAAAGGAACACATTACGCCAAGAAATAGAGAAAACCATGAGAAGAATGAACGAAAACTGGAAAGAACTAGAAAGGGAAGCCCAGGACAGAGTTGGTTGGAGAAAACTGGTGGGCGGCCTATGCTCCGTTGGGGGTGACAGGCGTAAGTTACAAGTAAGTAACGTCTTATTTTGAATCATCCCTGTGAATTTCTCATCAGTTTGTTTTTTGAAATATATTCTCTAAACTCCTGATATTCATTTAAATTAGTGTCCTCATCTTTTTTTTGAAATTCGTTTCATATTTCAGTAAAAGAATAGGAATTTTTATGATATACTCCCAGTTCGGTGTATACTATTCGGAACGTGGCCTTGAAGTAGTGTACAGTAGAGTGTCGCTCAGAAGTTATTGCTGAAGAGAATATAGGATCCATATATATGGCACGATCAAAGCATTCTAAAGACTAGAAGGCATGTAAAAAAAGACAAACAATAATCCGCTTATTTTGCTAATGGAAGTTTCAAGAAAAAAATTCACACATTTTGTTAATAAACTGTCTTTCAATAGACCACTTATTCCATATGATAATCATGTCTTCTTTCATTACATCAGGTATCTTCTAGATATAATACAGATGAAGTGAACAACATATTGCAAATATTGCAGCTGAGAATACTTGTTTAAAAGAATTTCAATTGGTACCTAAATTTAAACATATTGTAAATCTTATAGTTTACGTACGTTAACAGAACATGTTGATTGGTAATTATTCTTATCTTTCATATCCATTCTTTTGACTTTCTATCTACCTAAGTCATATCAGAATGATATACGACTTAGGAGATAAACCAACAAAATAAACACCTATGAGACAATATTAACATACATTACTGAATAAAGTAAGCGTATGTTTAAGATAAAGCAAGAGATTCTCAATCAATACTGACCTGTCTTAATGTCAAATGTTACAAATTATGAAGCATTTCTCTTCACTAATCGATTAGTTATATATTTCACAGAATAGAATAAATGTCATAGTGAATCGAATGAAATGGTAACAAGCATTTAATTTACAAACAAGTTGAATGAATAAACAGTAGGATATCGGTAATTATTTTTGTTAGATTGGTTAAAAGTAAATTTTATTGACAAGTATTATTACTGTTATTATTATTATTATTGTCGTTATTAGCATTAAAGTTTGATGTGACAGAACAACTATTTCAACCCAATTAATTGATAAATTAGACAATAATATCATTTGACAAATTTGAATATTTCAATGAATTTATTGAATTTCATCCAACGAGATTTTTATTGTCATTAACAACATTTTAGGAAAAATCAATCAATTAGGTATGCACTAGCAATATTGTCATTCTATATATATATATATATATATATATATATATATATATATATATATATATATGGTATATTAGTATATTAATCATTATTAAGCTGAAACAATGATAGATCTTGATTTATTATCAATGCAGAAGGAACTCAAATACCTATGGAACACACATGTGTGTATGATAAAAGAAAATAGACATTAGAAAAATAATTATTTTTAAATAGTCATACGTTATAAATATCTATGATTTCTCATGTTAACTATAAAATTTCAATGAAATTTTAGTCAGTTTACAATATATTTAAGAGTTGTTTTCATCAATAAGGTTGAATATATTTCAAGTATAGGAATACATCCATAGTGGCTTAACAGTTTAATAGCCTAATCTTCAAATATTATTCGATGATGTTTTTTTTGGGAATATTCAAGAAGAAAGAATTTTTTTTTAAGAATTGATAGGATATATATAGCACTGGAATGAAGGATGCTTGTTTCGTGCTGATATATCATCTATCTAATGAATCTCGAGAATAAAACGAAATGCACATCTTAGATTCTACAACTGATCTGATTCGATCTACTCTATAGAATGATAATTTCTAAGTACAAGTTTCGTGCATAATAATAACCTTTTGATATTCCATAATTCTTAGTAAAAAAAAGCCGGATGGTTATTTGTTGGATCTGTCATAAAAACAACGTGCTTGATCAATTTGCGTTAAAAATCTAGTCATTCTTGTAATGATGACAACTAAGTTATATAGAAGTTTTTATATAATTCACTAGCGACAAATTCAAGTGCATTGATGTGTTAATCAGATATTTAACAAAAAATTTCGGTATTTCTTGTAAAATATAACTATTGAGATGAGAGGTTTTCTTTAATTAGTCAATAAAGATATCCGTGCAATTTTTGTTCTTGTTATTTTGCGAAAAAAAGTAATAACCATGGTAAACTTGAATAATCAACTTATAATAATCTGTATCCATGAAACTGTTTCATTATTAATAGTATTAGATAGTGAAATAAAGGCGATATAGTCATTCGAAATATTTTTTTTTGATAATGAAATTAAAATATATTTTAATGATATTTGAAATAATATGTGTCTAAATAAGAAATTGGTCAAAATTGATAAAGAAGAGACTATATCAGTTGATAGGCTGTTAAATGCAAAAAAAACAGCACTAGTCAATGACATTTTTGTTCTACTTTTAGGATACTTAACAGTAGATGACACTGACATCTTACAAAATGAAGCATAAGTACAAAATGTCTTTAGTTTTATTATTGCGTAACATTTTCGGTATTTAACTATTTCTGAATAATTCCTTGAATAGACCAATTTGTTAACATTATCTAACTTTGTGAGCGTTAAACACAACTAATGTTACGACTTGATGATTTAGTGTTAGAAGAATGCAGAACACATTTTAAGCAGTTATCATTCAAACTATGTTAGACCAAATTAATACAACCAACTGAAAGGTTAACTAAGCACTGTAACGAAAAGCAATAATAATCATAATGAAATCATAATCTGCTGTTAATTAAATACCACCAAAAAAAAAAAAATCGAACTTACGATAATTGAAAGGATATGGTGAATAGCCCAAAGCTAGCACAAACAAATGCATACACACAGATATACAATATATATATTTTTATACATAGTAAATTATTCAAAGATGATGACATTCCTAGTGAAAAATAAAAATTGCAAAAGTTTATTATAAAGTTTTAATTTTTTATTTGAGAAAGTTTAAGGCAATGAATGTATTATGGCTGTACCAAAGAAAACTATGCAATTCAATTTAACAAACAAACAAACAAACAAAAACTAATCTTTTCTCTCTAAATGAATGTGAAGCATTCACTAGTATTATTGTATTCAAACTAGATATATAATGAATGCATGGTTTTTAATATAGTAGAGCAAGCAGAACAACACTAACTATACGAGAATAAAATTTCGCGCAAAATCTACTTCTGTTCCCTTAAGTAGTAAGAAGTTAAAATAAGGTATTGTACAAGATAGCAAATAATAGAGATTATAGATGCGCATAGATATTTCCATGTTTTATATTTTAAGAAATTTCGATACATCATTTTGACTGACATGATCACTTTCAGTAAACTTCCTACATGAATAATTAATTGTTGAAAGGGTTTATTTTGATGTTTAACCCGAAAAATTATTTTTATTACATGTGTAATCAGAAAATCATGTTCATAATTGATCAACTCTAAGTATAAGCATATAACAGTCACTCTGTGAAAAACTTATTTTTCCAGAAAGAGCTGTCCAAAATATTGAATAAAGACTTTCAATGTTGCTCATTTTCTTGAAGTGAGTGGAACGTTTTTTTCTATGAACTAAACTTCTTTTTCAAATACACTAGTTAAGAGAAAGCATAACTTAATTCAACTTGTTCGGAAATTCTTTCTTCAGAGTATATCTAAACCCGTTGAATAGGATTCAGATAATGAATACAACACTGACCACTGTTATACAGTATATTCGTCGTTGTCTTCGTAAACAATCAAATATTTCACCGTTTTTACAAAAGTTTTAGATAGAAAATATAATAGATTGATTGACCTTCTGAAATTCTATCATAATTGTACTAAAATTAAATTATACCTGAATTTCAGTAAAACTAATCGACCCATGAAACTTGAAGTCTATGGTCAATTAACTTACTAAAGTCTATCAAAAAATTTTATGCGGTTTCACATGACTTAAAACATTAGTTGAAAAAAATCTGAAGATTTTTGTGGGAATTTCTAAAGCAGAAAATTAAGAATATAATTACATTTTTATGTTTAACAAAAAAAAAAAAGAAAATTAAAATGCTGTATAAAATCTGATTTAGTTAACAGTTGCAATGTATGGAATGAGATATTATTGTTACCATTGAGAAAAAAAACTAGTTTATACTCATGGAAATTAATTGTTAACTGAGATACAATTATGAGTATATTAGTATTAAAATAATTATCTTTTGAAATTAATTAATTAATTTATGCATATATAGAAGCAAATAACTAACCTTCAGCTTCATTTACCGATAAGTACATCACATGATGATGATGGTGATGTTGGTAGTTATATCAATGAATAGAATAGGATCAGAGGAAACAAAATAAAACAGAAAATGGTTAATAAAAGTGTAGAAGGAAATAATTGTATATAAAAAGTAAACTTGTATATTACCAATAGTCTAATGTATAGTTATGCAAATCATAACTGTCATAATATAGATAGAATTTCGATAATATTTATGTAATCATAGATGATAATAAATTTTTTTTTCTAATTAGAGAGAAATACATCCATTTTCTTTGTTTCAACTTACTATAACATTATTGTAAATTGTCAATACACTGGACTACAAAATCCCTAATTCATTTGGAGTTATTTCAATTGTATTTTGAGAAGCAGCTATCATACATTTTGCATTAATCAATTAACTTATTTTATTCTTATTATGTCAGTCAATTATGTAATCACTTGTCTTCACTATCAGTCATATTATCTACTACCTCATTTCTTTTCTTTTATTTAATTAATATTCTCATGCATACAATATGCATCAATTTCAATGATAATGTAGCATATTGTTTGTGTGTTATTTTTCTGGTCTACTGTATGATTGTAAATGTTGATTTTTAACTTACTAAACTAATTTATCTCATCATTCTGTTATGTCTAACTAGATAGTTTACAGTCAATGAAAGCTCATGAAAATGTACACATTTATTACGATATGCAAATCATACTATTTATTTTTGGCGCAGGTAATAAAACTTCTGCAATAATTCAGATTTATGTGTTTCTACATTTTTGTTAAATATAACATGCTTACAATTATTGCTCAAAACTAGAATTAGAACATTTTATCATTACTTTTTTAACTGTAAACTTGACAGCTTATTCACTTGAGATGTGTACTAATCTATTTGATCATGTCTAATGAATGATACGATAGGTAATTTAACAGCGATCTATAATTGTATGCATTAGATAGCTGACGGTTTATTACTACTACTACTACTACTACTACTACTACTACTACTACTACTACTATTACTACTACTTACAAAATACTACACCAAATATCATATTCATAATTCAATGAAATTCTATTAATTGTTTAATTTTACATCTTTAAACATGTTCTAAATTTTTAAATGAGCCGTAATGTCATTTTCGAAATGAATATTATAATTTCGGAAACTTTAATAACTTTTCCTATTGTATTTTCTTCCATTAAACATTGTTCTTGTGATTGACAATTTCCAATCAATATTTAAAAAGGTTTAAAAAATGAGGAAAAAAATAACCCAATGAAATCTTGACAATATACTAAATGCATACAATGACCAAGAAAAAAAAGAAGAAATTTACTTGCTGAAGTACTCAATATTGGAGCGGGTTTCCAACCTGGTCCTAAAACACCAGGATTAGGAGTTCTGGCTAATTCAGCACCATTTGTATTTGGATTTATTAAATTTGACCAATTCATTGCTGACATATCCGAATTATTATTACCATACAAATTAGATACTGGAATTAATATCATCGGTACATTACTATTAATTTTGATTGCTTCTTGCAGTTGAGATGGTGTTATATACATAAAATTATTATGAACATCTAAATTTTCATTATCATTCATAATTTTATGATCATTGTTGAAATTTTGTCCTGTAGGTGAAGTAGGTGGTATATTTAAATTTAAAACCGATGTATCCGCCTCTCTAGGTGGTGATTTATCACGTAGTATACTTTTAGGAGTATGAAGATTATTCTTATTTGGTTGACTAATTAAATGATTGTCCGAATGCACATTATCATTATCATTTTCAAAAATTTCTGTAGATTTTCTATTGAGTAAATTACTCATTGATGGAGTTTTCTTCAATCCAGCTGTAGTTGGATGTTCTGGTCGATAATTATAAGCTTTTAGTTTCCAAGCCGGTACTTCACCAGATTCTCCTGCATCATTTTGCAACAGCCACCAATCTCCTTTACTGCTATTTATAACCTAGATAAGTAAGTGAAAAAGTAATAACTTACTAATGAATTAAACTTGAAATTAGAATGGACAGCTTATATCATGATAGAAAATATTTCTTTCCAAAATATGAATGTCCTCAGTGAAGTGTTCTCTGACTTCATTTTTAATATCGAAAAAGTAAATATAGTCAAACAAAACATTACTATTATTATTATGAAAACAATATTACACCATGCAAAATCCATATAAATGTAGGAATTCTATGAAATGATAGGCTGGATACTGTTTATAAAATATGCAGTGAAAAGCATATCAAGTTTATGAGATTCACTCAAAGCATTGGAAGTTCACTAGTATGTCAACATAATTTGATATGGACAGTTGTAACATTTTATCATGGACAAAAGTCGAATTTTCTATCTGATTCATTTCAATTTGCATCAAATATGATCAGAGTTTATATGACTCATTTCAATTTTATTCAGTTGGATAAATAATACACTAAAAATGATTAATGTAAACAGATATCGAGAAATTTTGTTCATTCGCCTTTGATATGTTGTTTTTGTTATCATAGCCAACTTAAAACAAGCTACTACTGTGTACATTGGATTATTTAAATATGCTATTTTATCTAAATGTTTGAAAGTGAAAATTTTGCTTTTATCTTAAAACCAACTAACCACACGTGTAGAAATATAATTTTATCTGTGTTTGTGTTAAAAAAAATTCCATAATGAAGACTTCATATCAATTAAAGGATTTTCTTTATGTGAAATTTAATTTCATAGATTAGCTAAACTTCTACGTAAGTGTGACAATGAATTCCGTCATCAACTATAGAGATAATATAATTTTTGCTTTGAAGCTGTTCCATCAAAGTAAGAAAGAAAGATTCATGTCTAACATACTTAATTATAAAAATATGTGAATATATGAATCAAGTTTTGATAACTACTTAAATACAATTCACTTCTGCTAAGTATGTGAACTACTTGAAATAAAAAGTTAATCATCATTGTAGTTTTAATAGCTGCATAATTGAACCATCATATTTTATAAATTAGTAAGAAAAATTTATGAAAATGTAATTCACCATATGATATCGATGTTTCAATACGAAAGTGTGTTACTCAATCACTGATTATTGTTAAAACGTAATAACATATATCATGTAAACTGATTGACAATTAATTTTTCATATTTTCAGAGATTTTTTTTATTGCCGTTTAAGTATCATTGTATTAAGTAATGAATAACTCATGTTATTTCAATAAAGATTAAAGGAAAGAAATATAATTACAACTAATATTAAGTAAAGCAAGACCTTTTTTACGATGGAAATTAGTTTTCATTGAAATCAAAAAGTGATATATTTTGGGTCACCATTGAGAATTTAGAGGACTTTTTCTACGATAAAAATTAATTTTGTTAAAATATGTTTAACCGGAAATATTTACGTCCTGAGAAAAATTTCATCTGTCGAACAAACGAAAGAATGTAATGCCTGTAGATATAATAAGTTTGTAGCGGAATATAAATCTCCAAAGCAAAGAGAAATGTAAGTCTTCAGCGTTGATGTTGACCTCATCAGTTTTATTGGGCACAGTATAGCTGAAGATGCTCGGTCGCGCATCCTCACCAGATCACCGTAGAGTACGCGGTGCAATACATCTTATTGCATCAACCAGCAAGCTTAATTCACTCACTCCTCGATATCCCAAACCAACCTTCAGATATACCTTTGAACCGCTTTATTTTTGACTTCTGCTTTGACTTGGCTTTAGGTGTTCTTGGTATGAAAGGTGTTACTGACAAAAGCGTCGACTAACTCTAAATATCCATGACATCAGGTTAAACAGATTAATCTAACGCTAAAAAGTAATGATTACTACCTTACTCTTAAAAAAAATTGAAAAACAGTAACTTAGTATTTAAAATAATGACTTACTTGGAGAACGTCACCTGGTTGTGCACTCAGCTCTTGAGGTTTTGCACCTACATGAAGTACATTTACTACACACCATCTAAAAAACACCAATAACAAAATTAATGGGTTAGTTATGATAGAACTTAGCATAAAAATCTACCTGGATCAAATATTCGATAATGATAACGGTATTACAATTCAATATCTCATACTATGAAGTTGTGGTAAACCAAGGTAAAACATTTAAACAAAGTCAATATTTGATACTCAACCTCGGTGTATAGATGAGATAAATCATAATCGGAATGATTACAGAGAAAATGTAATGATATTTTTTACATTGAGTCATTTATATTGAAACAATAGTTTACAGTAATTAGTCTATTCTAAATTGGTACAAAGTATTCAACTACAAAATTCCTGATTTTAAGTGTTTCTTTAAACTCAACTTAATTAACTGAGCTTTTTTTGTTCAAATGTAAATCAGAAGTAGGTATACTACTGATAACTATGATAATTGAATATAATGTTCAAACATACCAAAACATTATTTGGATGATGAATAAAGTAAATAATTTCAAACTAAATTGACCAAAAGTTATTTACATAACTTATTTATCATGATTTGTATGGATAATTTAAAGTAAGGCAAAATATATCGCTTGAACAAATCAATGATATATATATATATATATATATATATATATATATATATAACTGTGTACTGACTTTCCTTCCGAATCCGTAGGACGCTGAGGGTGATTACTGCGTGGATCCAAAGACTTCACTCTCTGCTCTGGTGATTTTTCTACTGTAACTACAGGAATGTATAAAAGAGGTGAGGATAAGTGAATGGAATTAATTAAAAAACAAAACTCTTAAGGATTGTACATAAAATTTTCTAAGAAAAGTGCAAGTTTGCTAATATTAACAATACTAACAATAACAACCGAAAATTCGAAATAGTTAGATTACCGGTAGTAACATTTGATTCTGGTGTATTCACATTGTTTATACGTATAACTTCGGAGCCTAGAAAAAGTAAACGGTTCAATCTTACTAAAACTATAAATCATAAACATTTAAAATAATTCAGTTGAAATCAAGCAATCATACCAATTTAAAAAAAAACGCTCTTATGAAGTGAGAAATTATACACTGAATATTGTTGTGAGATATTCACTGACTACATTGCTACATGTAAAATCATTATACTTCTGAGAGCTAAGAGTGAAAACTAAAGTCATCGAAAGCTCTATGATTGATTTTATATTCAGATGTAATCAGAAAGCATTTTTAAATTACTAGGAAGATTGTAGACGGTGGAGAAAATTTGTAGCTCAGGTGGATGATTGTGGTGGTGTTTTGTTCTCTGAGCTCAGAGAAGATTGTAGATTGTAGACATTAGAATATTGTTACTTACTTCAATTTTACTATAGAATTATCTTCTTTGACTGAAATCTGTTTCAAGTCAATTCAAGTGAACTTTCATATCTAATTACCTCTAACCTGACATACTGTATACTTAAATATAAACCTTCGATAAAATCTAATTTCTGTATTTACTAAGTTTTATATTTTTTCTGTGACACAGAGTATATTACTTATACAATTAAAATTATTGAATTAGACAGTTATCAATGAAAGTTATTTTATATCGAAATTTAAGCGGCAGAAAAATTGAAAAAGCCATTCAACTAAGTCATTTGAAATTTCCCGATGATAGTACATAGAAAAAAAATTGAAAGATTATGATTATGTGACTCAAATTTTCTGTTAGTTTCAATCAGATATTTTTACATTTACTTACTAATTTGACGAACTGGTGAAGGAGTTCTGACGCGTTCAGGGGGATTCGGAGAATGACGCGGTGAGACAGTTTTTGTCTACAAGGAAGTAATATAACCTGGGGTTTTAATTAGTCTAAAAATATTCTTGTAAATAGTTATTTTATTACAAGGAAAACCTTACAAGTAGCTTGTAAAATTAATAAGCAGTGTGGTACTTTTATAACCAGGTAACTCTGTTTACACTAAGTCAGTAACTTCTGGAAAATACAGTTTAACTGTATCAGCAGTCGGACAGAATGGGATCGCTTACTTCTGTGGTGCATACTACTTACAACATGGATTATAATTAGTATGCATCGGATACGCAACGGAGTATTGCCCAGAGATTACTACTGAAAAGAAGAGTGTTGGATCCAGATATATATCATGATCAGAGAGTTTTGAAGACTAGAAGATACGAGGAAGACGAAAGTCAATAATCCGTTTGTTTGGCGAATGGAAGTTTGAGGGTAAAGTGTACACATTTAGCTAGTAAACTGTGTCTTTATCAGATGGATCACCAGTTCTATCTGGTCTTACGGTTTTGTTCAATGCACTGCCAGGATTTCTCGGTAAATAGTGATTATTAACTGAAGATGGGTAAATTCTTTTCAGTATTTATGGCCCAAACGTTTGTAAATTTTCCTTTTTGTGTAGTTTGAAGAACATAAAAGTTGAGGAGACTTGAAAGTCAGAAAGAGAAATTATGGTAATTTGATTGTTTCCATACTTCGCCCGGTTTCATCTTTAACACGTGATATATTTCCTAGAATAAATTGCAACTAAGAATCTGAAGTGATGTGTTCAAATAAGTTATATTTTTCAAGTCAACTTAATCTTTTCATTAAACTCTCGAAACAATGTATCAAGGATCTGCGATTCTTCTTAGAGTAATAGCAATATTATTTGATAATTCCGCGATCTAAACTTTGTAATTCTCTGAGCAAATAGGTTTGCCTATTTCTTCATGAAAGCATTTTATTTCTTATCTATATAGCATTTTATTCCATGTACAGGAATATATTGGAATCAGCCAGTTATTTTTTTTATTACACTAGAAACATCAAAGCAGTATAGTATTCTCTGAAGATCGTTTTTTGATTCAATTGAAGATTATCAATAAACGATTTTTCCAGCAAGTAATAATAATAACTTTAGGGCTCAGTCAAGATCAACATCATTCGATATCATTTACTTTGAAAAAATTACTTTATTCATTCAAAATTTAATTAGAGAATAAAAGGATGATCATTAATAATAATAATAATAATAATAATAATAATGATAATAAGGATAATAATAATAGATTCTTCTATCCTTTAATAAGTTTAAGAATAATTTCTTTCAGCCTGTCAATAAATAATATGTAGATTTTATACTTGGTTGAACGATACTTTAATTTTTAAATTCTAAAATTCTAAATCTATAGGAAGAGAAAGTTGCTTTTATATTTTTGAAAATAACAGTAATTTTCGTATTTATTTAATCATAGAATCGATAAGATTTATCTGAAAAAAACTAGTAGTATAGATTAATTTTTACAGAAAATTAAAAAAGATATATATATATATATATAACAGAATATGACTTACAATTTTTAATTCAATGTCTGTCTACAAAAAAGAGGATAAGTGAAAGAAATGAGCGATAAATAACAAGCATATTTCTGTTAGAAATTCACTAATGAAAATGACATGATTGATGATGCATTAGAATTAGTGTTTAATGATCAGTGAATTTTTTTTCTTTTTCATTGTTTATTTTGATCATTGGCTAAATTATTATTGGTGAAGCATTAAAATGATCTTGGTTGAATTCTGCATGTGCATTTTATAGAATAACAGGCTTAGTTTTCTAACATTATGAATTAGAACAACACATATAAGCGAACAGTATTGTTTTCGATTAGATCGTCATCAAGCTTTACTCTAATATACATGAATATTTATATGAAAATGTTAAAACCAATCAAGGCTATTTGAGTCATAACCACAATGAAATGAAAAAGATTACGTCTTTACATATGATAGGCAAAAATACAAGTGAATTGGTTTAACATTTTCATATAAATATTCATGTATATTAGAGTAAAGCTTGATGACGATCTAATCGAAAATATTACTGTTCGCTTATATGTGTTGTTCTAATTTTCACAATGGGAATCTTTACTATCATTATGAATTAGTTAAGCGATAATTATTTAGAAAAAAAGTTTATTCAATTTAACTTGCAGTAATCAGTTTCATCAACAACTAGATCAGTTTGTACTTTGTGAATCATTTTAAAGATTTTATCAAATCCATTGGTCGATTATCATTGAGCTCAATTGCTTATTCAGTTTTTTTTTTCGAAGTGTGTTTAAAAAATTTACCATGTTTAGTTAAGCGAAATATTCAGTGGTAATACAGAGAGATTACAAATAATTAATATCGAATGTCATATGAAAGTGGGCATAGGAACTGTATGAATTATACACAACTTGAGATAATGTGAAAAACAGGAAATGTTTGGAAGAAATAACAGCTGACACATTTATCTAGATAGTGTACATTTATTAGTAATCATTGATAGAAGTACCAAGTTCACATTTTAAGGAACAAAATGATATTCACTTAATTGCCTTATTAGGAATAAATATTATTATGAAGCGCTAAAAGGTACTAAATAAAAACACGAAACGACATTGATGAGATTTATTTGAATAGTTCAAAATACTGGAAAGTTAATAGAAGTGTTATCAAAATACGTTTAGTTAATTTTATTGAAACTCCACGAATTGTTCCTGTGTATTTCGTTTGGAAAGTAGGTTGATTTGATGTAATCACACTTGGTAAACATGCTTATTTTACTGAAAAATTACATTAATTCAATGCTATGGTTCTAGTGATCTGAAAAAAAATACTGTACACTTTCATTAAATAACGTAGTCCACAGTTTTACGTATCTCGGTTAAAATCTGGTTTGTATCATTAGTGGTCCAAGTAATTTAAAAAAAAATTGATTAGTGTTCACATAATGTTCATAAATTAATCTCAACAGCAAACATTATCAATACAAAGAAGTAATCCATGCTTTCTTTGATTTCATATCCTATTTGCCGTAAGTATTTAGTCTTATTTCTATCATAATCTAGTTGAAAATCTTCATATCGATTTCACTATAAATCATATGATTTACTTAGATTGATTATCAATCGTATGATGATGAATAATTCAGACAGAATATAATATCAGTTCATTAAATTTCATGGTTTCTCATTAGTTGTTTACGATCATGCGTGTAATTAAGTGTAATGATGAGGTATGATATAGTGTCAAGTAATTGAAATTGATAACCGAAGGGAATAGAATAACAGAGATTAACATTAAATAAATATACATATGTCTATGCATGAGCAGGAGTGAGGTCATTTGACGACAGATTTCAAAAAGTAAGGGAAAAGGTAAGAAGTGAAGTGAGTGATTGAGTCCAGAAATATAAGCTGGATAGCGTGTTGAGTTGTGAAATGTTCACACATGTTTTGTATGACTTGAAAATAAAAACAGAAGGTTTAGAGTAACAAGGTAGTAATTACCTAGTAATTAAGTAATTGAAGGGTTACGTACTAATTAAGCCTAATATAAGAAGGGTTCATAAAGATTACATGACAGTATAAAAAATACTAACAATATTCATAATAGATAAAAATGACTACGTTAATGACAAGTTGGTAACTTTCTCTTTCTGGACAGATAATTATTATTAGTTTTTGTTACTGTTATTCTTTCCGTCGCCAATTTCAATTACTTCGCATTAAAGCATACCTCATCGATGCACCTTAACACACGTGTGGCTGTAAGCAGCTGATGAGAAACCATGAAATATGATGAATTCCTATTATGCTGTGTCACTTGTTGTTCTGACTTTATTTAAATTCATAAAGCAAACTAATTATATGAAATAACATGATCCGATTGAAAAAAAATAGGAAAACATGGAAAAAAAACTGTAAACCTTTATATAATAGCTGCTTTTTCTTTGACATATTCTTTTTCTTTATAAATATGAGTAAACTAAATTTCATATTTTGAAATTTTAATTACTATCAATCAATTTTGTTATTATGCTTGTTGTTGCTGTTATTTTCTCTTTTTTTTCACACCACTGATTACATACACATTGTTTAATAAAGCATCATGATATTTTTTTAAAAAAAAATTCTCTTCCAATATGTAGAAAAGAAATTTTCAAGTTTTACAGTATTCTTTTTATGTATATACATTAGTAATCACTAAATTGATACAGCATTAGTAAATTGTGGACTTTTTCTTTTACAAGAATAAAAAAATTTAGCCAATGTATAGTTTATTGATATTCTGAGAATTCATAGTTTGGTGTACTACTACTACCACTACTACTATTACAACAGTACTTTTTAGTTTAAAAAAACAAAACATGTTATAAACAATATATATACATAGAGTGAATTGATTTCAAAAGATTTAGTGATTTAATTTAAATCACTGAATGATATTTCATTATTGACTAGTCTTACTCAAACGAAACTATACAATTTTAATAGTGTAAAATGTAATAAGTCCCAATGGTCATAGAATTGGTATGTAAATTGGAATAGTCGTTAAATAATAAATGTATTTTAAATCTGACAACAAGATGCATATAGATCGGTAGAGTGATGAAAATATTTGAAATTATTAGTCGATCAAACGAATGTTGTCAAACTGTTATATGTAGAGGCTGTTAACCATAGTTTTCCAAATATAAATTTCATATTTTTTTAAAATTTGGACTCCTTATCACAACGAAATTCATCTAGCCAGACAATGTATGCATAAATACTAACTAATTAAACTTACTGTAGTTGGTGTGACTGCATTAGTTTCAGCATGCCATGTTCGGCGTTTATTATTATCAGATTCTGAAGAGAATTGTGGAGTATAAGGATCAAGATGCTCACTCCATTTTTCACTAAAAATAAAAAAAATAAGTTCATCATGAAATGTTCATAATTATGTTAGTTTTTTTTAAATTATCAATACGTTTTCTTACAAAATGTAAATATTTTCAGTGATTTACATATTTGATTGTAATTATATTACTTAGCTTAAAGGATATTTCACATATGGAACAAGAGGAAAATGAATATATAAACTAAGACGACAAATATTTCTTTCGAAAATATGAAAGAATCTATGTTATTTTAATTTATAGTAACTATTTCAGGATTATATTTAAGTTTAATTGAAATCATGGTCCGATTAATGTTAGATCAAGATTAGAAACGCAGAAGCACCGGACAGCCGTTTAGTGCTAGTATGAGATTCATCAGCTGTACCTAGGACGCTCTCATGCAGGTACCGTGCTAGGTAGTCTGCTTCCAAGTCTCATCAATCCCCTCAAGATTTTGTTAATATTTGTCACCCAAACCAGAAACTACACTACATCTTGATAGATACTATCCATTCAGCGTTTAGATGTGGAGAGCCTGAGACTGATTATCAGTCAGTGACCAAAGAATATGTGAATTTTGTAGTTATTTTCATTTCCTAATAGATTTGCTATTAAAACTGACGATGAACATTTACTTACCTTTGCTAACCAAAGGTCGAGTGTACTGTGCAGCAGTCTTCTCCGTCTTCCTATATGGATGCGAAACTTGATCGGTAAGAGTAGAAGATATTCGTAGGTTACTAGTATTTGATCATAGATGTCTTAGAAGCATTGCTCGTGTATTGTGGGACACCCGAGTAAGCGATGCAGTTGTTAGGAAGCGAGTACTAGGTAAGGATGCTAAATCAATTGATGAAGTATTAAAACTTCATCATTTGAGGTGGTTGGGACATGTGTTACGACCCACCCACTGCCTCGTTGAGCTATGTTTTGTGGTGCAGGAATAGGTTGGACGATAGCTAGGGGCAGCCAAACCAAAACATGGCAGAAATCCATGAAGTCACTGACAAGTGGACTGAGTCATGTTGGTGGATGACGGCTGCCTGTTTGGGGTACGCGAGACGAAAGTCACCAATGGTTAGAGACCTTGAATCATATGGCTCAAAATCGTTTGCAATGGCACAGGTGCATCCACTCTTTATGTTCTCTCAAATCCTAATCTTCTGGATTCCTTCTCATCTCTATCTTTCTCTTTGTAAATTTACCTCACTTAATCATACTTCTTGAATAACATCTTTGAACCCTAATCTCTCTTATTACTTCTAATACTCTTACTACCTCTACTACTATGGGATCCTCATTGACAATTGCGTCTCTGTGTTAATGTGGTATGTCAACATGAACTGATGTGCTTACGTACGATGTTCTACGCTGTAACTTACTGACTGACTAACTGCATTAAATTTAAACATTCAGAATAAACATATTTTGTGACTTTTATCCCGGTTACCTCATATCTCAACTATTGATTGATGTGCTCTGATCTTTTATTACACAGGGAATTCGATTAAATAACAATGAAAAAAGATTCATTGATGAAACCAGAAGCTATAAAGTCACGTGAATAAATATGAAGAATATTCAGTAGAGAGGAAGCAATATTTTGTCTATTTATACAGGTTAAATATTGTAATAAATTAAGAACTTTGCAGGTCAGTTACTTTAGTTCTACAGCTAAATAAATTATCATTTTAAGCTAAATTATAAAACCAAATGGGTTAAAAGTTACAGATGATTTTAAAACCATCATTAACCTCTTCAGTGATGGAAATGCGATCACAGCAAGTCGGAAACAATACATTTCATAGAAAACTCCAAGAAGTTCGTTTTTTAGTTATTTCCAAATCGGCTAAATGATAAATTCCATTAACGTTTTAAGAAGTAAAGGAGTAGATGGGTTCGGATCCACTTATTATAAGCATGGAAGGCCAGATATCCAAACACTACTACTATTTCTCTGGAAACGGGCATTTATTTCAAGCGTTGGAAAACCATAAATAAAATTTCAAAAAGCATCATTATAGACTGATTATTAACATATTAGTGATTTCTCGGATTAATGAAGAAAAGTGAGTGTCAAAATACTAGATAATTTACTTGTTGACAAAAATATACACAAAAAAAATCCTAATAGCTAGATTTTGTATGATTTGTCATTCAAAGTTATCTAATAGTCTTTACTCAACTCAAATCTTTGGAACTTATAGACTGCTTTATTTTGCCGTCAGATTCATTGCTCACTTACCATAACCAAAGAGTTAAAATGAACCCCTCTTCATTAGATGAGCGTTCATTCATAATCAATGTGATACAAAGTGAAATGTAGTAGTAGTCGTATATAGTAATATTTAGTTCTTGTACTTAGTGTATAAAAGATATCTTCAATTAAATTGACTAAGTTAGGCTTGTTTGAGAAGATACGTTTTGTGAACAATTATGATGGCGGATAAAGTTAAGGATAGTTCTAAACCGGAAAAGGATTAGAATCAATAACCTTCGGATTACCGGTGGCGCGAATTGTCAACTTAGCTTCAACTACATTTTCTAACTTATTATTCTGTGCATAACCATAATGTCATTAGCTACATTTATTGGCTCAAAAAGTGTACTACTAACGCTGTTTAACGAAGACTCAAAGTGGGGTGCCTTATTGTAGTTAACTAACATGCTTGTCATTCAATTAGGTTTGTGGGATATCTGATCAGTAAGACAAAGCCGACCTATAAATGAGAAACTTTATTTTCATTACTTTGCTGAATGCCTAATCCCTAAGAACTTTTCAACTTAATTTACACACAAAGACTTCAAATATGCGAAATATCCATACGACGTTTGCACTTGGGGTTGACTGCTATTGTTTTATAAACTGGAATGTGATCGTCAAAGGAAAGGCTGAATAAATATATGCTTACATATTTGTAATATGTTTATTTTATTTTTATCTTTGATAATCACTCTTCGAATGTGATAGAAAATAGGTTTATTTTAACTACCGGAGAGAGAGAGAGAGAGAGAGAGTAGCACACTTCAAAGCTTCATGCAATATTTTCTTAAAAAATATGGACCTGAACTGAATGCTCTTAACTAGCCAATGTCACATGTGTAATTAACCATTTAAAACTTATTCGCTTGGCAAATTTGATGAAAAAGACACCAGTATTTGTCAGCATACATTATTGTATGTAGCAAAAATTATAAACTCATATCAAGAAAACGCAAACTGACTACATTTTCTGTTAAGGCTTTGTTTTGTTATCTGACAATCATGCGGGTTACATTATCCAATCTAAACAGATCAATAATACCTCACTGATAAAACTGGTCACAGAATAAAATGAGTAATTAACTTAAATCATTTACAGTTCATACAAAATGTTTTAAGAAGTTTTCATTAGAGCCTTTTTTTATAGAAACATCAAAATTTAGAGTTTAGAATCTTTAGATTGAGATGATTATTACACATGAGACGGTAAAAAAGTTCTCAAGTTATACTGATAGTAGGATGTGACTGCAAAGCGAAAAGTACTGTTGTGTTCCAATTGTGGACAGCAAATATTGGTTGAGACATTATTCTATGCTGCAACTAAATGATGGAAGACTTATAGAATGTGAATTAATCTGGATCGTATTTGTACTTTTGGCACACATATATGTAGTGAGGTGACTAGTAAGTACAAAAGTAAAAAAGAATTGATAGTTTTGGTAAAACTGAAAATGGTTAGAAATTCACAGAAGTATGAAAGCGATTTCGATTTTGGTTAAAATACAATATGAACTATCCTTCAATGTTGAAGGAATCCGACGTAAACTCAAAACGAGAAATTATTGCATATGAACTATTGGAAACTAATCCCTTAAAACAACAGAAGCATCAAATATTTTTGACTTTTCATGTTTGAATTCCGATAAAAGTAAAGATTAAAGTTAATCACCTAAGTTTAGTTGAACATCCGGTCGACGATTTTCTACATAATCTGTTTACTGTTTTTAACTAGAAAAACAGTATTGTTAAGGTAGTTAGCCAACTAACACACCAAATCAAGAAACCAGGTTCATCAAACTCCAACTTAGTAATCTGTGAGTGTTCTGATTACTGAGAGGCGTGAAAAGTTTTCGTTGCATGTTGAGGAAACATTTACTCGGATTTTTTTCCTAATGATTCCCATTTATGACAAAATTTGTCCTCAATTATAAAAAAAGATAGTTTATGATATAACACAAATTCTGTATCACCTGTTCATCTGTCCAACTATTGTCTTATTCAAATGTTGACACCCTGAGAAGTAAACTTTAGATGATACAACAAAAAAATAAAACAAGTGGTCGAAAAATTTAGCTCTTAGAACGTATGCAGAAGTTGAAGTGTGAACAACTGTTAGCACATTAAGCATTATAGAATATTAGTTAATCAATTAAATTCTAACTTACGGTGAAGTATTCCATGCAGGACCAAGTCCTTTCCAAAACTCAATTTTATTTTGCAATCTTGTCATAATCGCTTGAAGTGTAGCTTCTTCTAATAAAGGCTCAACAATATCACGCACCATATTTTGGTCATAGTCAGGCACAGTTTTATGTCGACAAACTTTGTCCAGCCACTGGACAGTGTTAAATAGTCGTACAAAGATTTTTTTCGATATATCTTCAGGAACATGTGGTTGAACTTTTTCATTCATATTAAAAGCGTACTTCACTTTTCTAATTATTTCTTGAGCGTCTTGTTTACTTGGGTGTCCTGAATCAATTGAAACACCGACCAAAATAAAAATGAATTCTTATAATTTTAAATAATTATGGCAATATAAATAATAGATTTTTTGGAAATGAACATTTTGAAATGAACTGATTCATCACTAAGGCTGTTATGTTTTTGGACATATTCTTTTCGAATATTTTCAAATAAAAACAGTAGAGAGATAAGTAGTTTATAAATACTTTTATGATTTAGATGTCGAACTCAGCTGACGTATAAGACAGTTTATACATATCAACAAATGAACAATTTAGACATTTTAATGGAAAACGGAATGACATATTTATGATTAGTAGACTGTTATTTTCTAACGATAAACGGTGTAGTAAGAATTAGGAAGTAAATAATGTCTTACATAAGAATGACATGAAACTATTGCTTTATAACTACTACTTACTTAGTTGGAAACAATTGGCGACTCATGTTACAGTTTTTTTTTCTATTGCTAAATTCTAATAATACTAGTTTCTACAATTTAATGTAACCTTCATTATTAAAGTGTGATGGGAAATATTTGTAGCTCTGGGTGACAATAAGTACAGTCATATTTTAATGATATTGACTATTAGCATAATGAAAGTTTCACAATTAAATTATTCTACTCAGAGGTCGAAACACCATTTGAAAATTTGTCAACAGCCTCATCATCAAATTGATGATAATTATCACAAACATTTAGACATTTCTAGTAATCATAATCAAGTTATAAAATATGAGTACAGAGGAGAGTTATCAGTACGTGATCGATTTGAAGCAAAAAAAATATTATTAATCTTTGTGTTATTTTCAGATGAAATTGTTATACTAATGAATTTTTACTTAACTATTATAAAATGTTACCATCCATTTACATTTAAACTATCATAACTTGTTGATAAAAGAGAAATATGTTTTAACTGAAAGCACAATAATATTAAAATTGTTTTTATTCGTTAAGTTAATGGGGGTTGTTTTTTTTCGTTCTTTTTTTTTACCGATGAAAGTAGTAAACCTGTTACAAAATTGATGTATTAAAAACCTTTTTATCTGTATTGATAAATAAACAAATAAATAACCACACAGTTTTCAACTGGGTGGTTCAGGTTCATTTATCTTCAGGATCAGTTTTTAATTTTTTTTTCATACCTTAAAATAATTGCATGTCAGTATTCGATTACTTACATAATAGTTCACATATAATTCTGTTATTACGAATTACTTTTACAAAGTTGATAACTAATGAGTCTTAACTCTTTCTAATAAATTTGTAAAGTATTATTAAGTTAAAGTTTTGCAAAATATTCAAGTAATGTGGTTCATACTTCAAATTATAATATTTCTATAATGTAACAGAACGACAGGAAATCAGTATGCAGTTTGTAATAAATACGTAAACCAGTGTTAGTTAAACAGTTGTTCAGTTTGATTACGATTGAATAATTTAGTCTGAATTCACTAGGCAAGTGAAATAAATGAATCAGTATAAAAAATGTGTCTAGTTACAACATACAAACACATACTATAAAACAACCAGTAAGTACTCTTTCGAAGATAGTTTTGATCACAAACTGACATCAATCATAAAATTATTTAAAACCATATAGACCATTGTATAGATAGTTCATCTGACTGTAAGATTTAGGATTGGTAGTATACATTCAATAATAGGACATGAAAAAGATAATCAAGTCAACTTTTAAATTTTAATGTAAGAAGGAAAAGTTATGGGAATCTTCAGGAAAGTATATGTAGAAAAAACATAGACAGAACAGTAGTTGAATTCGAAAAGCTTTTAACCTATCAAGTACCAATAGTGTTCGGTTAAAACGATCTTCAGTAGAGCTAGAGTGTTATGTTCGAACGGTAAAATAAACGAGGAGTTGGATATTGTAGGAAATAAACTTAAAACGATGGATACTAGAAGGAACTTATTGCAAAATATGGAACAGAACACCCATAGAATTGTAAACAACCCGTCGTTGAAAAAAGCCTATGTTCATCTATATTTCGTTCAAGGGGGATGAGATTTCAAGGAGAATTGATGGAAGAATCAAGACAGCGTTAAAATGAAGCTTCTCTGCTGCTCAGTAGGACGAACTATACGACGCTAAATGTTTCTTATACCAATCAAAGGTGAACTAATACCTTTCCGACGTCTGTCGCATCTATGATTGAATGTCGACCTAATAACTGCCATTTTCTAAAAGCCTTTTTCTGATCCATTTGCCAACTTCTTTTTACTTCTTATTTCATCTTCTGGTATTCACATGATCTTAGTGATCTTCACATATTTTATCATACTGAGCTTGTCCAACCATCAGTCGCATCTATGAATTCATAGATACCTGCTGTAGCAAGTATATACAAAGGACTGAGAGAAAGATATCCAATAGATATTCTGAACACATTCCTAGGAACAGGTGCAACTGCCAGACACCTTCTGGATACTGAACACAAAGTGAATGTAAGCAATGCATTAAAAATAATTAATGGACAAAAAGCATCAATCTTATTTCGGTTTGTAGAGCAGTAACTATCAGGAGCATGTGACCGAACCTTAGCATACAGAAGAAAAGTGTGATTAGCCCTTCCCTAATAACTTCCACTTTTTAAAAGCCTTTTTCTGATCCGTTTGCCAACTTCTTTTTATTCCTTATTTCATCTTCTGGTATTCTCTTAATCTTAGTGATCTTCACATATTTTATCATACTCAGCGATTGTCCAACCATCTATTAATGTCATAATCCTCACGTAACCTCTTTTAGTCATGATTGTGATTACTGGCAACTATGACATCATTTCTTCTACAATACATTGCTACTTTCAAAGTTATAAATATAAATCGATCTTAAAAATGCTTATTCATAAACTTCCTATCTCTGTTATTATTATTATTTCGGTTACATTTTGGACACCAATCCAAACTTTAAAAATCAAATCACATAGTTGTGTTGAGTTATGTTGACAATTGTAATTTTCGGTCGTGTATAACTGATGCGAAACATTGTGGTATTTGCACTGTTTAAATTTATTTATGATTCAATTTTTTTCTTTTTGGCAAATTATGATATTCATGAATGCTTAACATTAAGTTTACTTATTTATCTTTATAGAATAAAAGAATTGGATATATACAGATAGATCAAAATGTTATAATAAAAGAATCTAAGAATGAATTTAATTGTAGTGATTTATAATTTTAAATGAAGATTGTTTGATAATAGCTGAGAATGTTGGAAAACGTGAAATCTATTTGCACAAAATGCAGTTTACTGAATAAACAGTAATTCATGCTTTCATAGATAAAAATCAATATTACATTCTTAGTAGCAACGTGTATGCTATCTCAAGGTGTAAGCACTTGTTTTCATTGCCTTATTTGTTAAAAAATCTATCTTTATGGTGTGATACGCATTAAACATATACACAAAACGATTATATTTTTGAAGTTTCGAAGTTGATTAGATTGCAGTGTCTAATGTTTATGTAAAAATAGTACTATCAGCTAGATAGGTAATAATGAGCAAAAAAAGTATCCAAGCGATCACAATACTAGATTTTTTATTAAGGTCATAAAATAGGTTGAACATCTCAATTGTTATTGTAGAAAATGAGTACATGTGAGTTAGATGCAAGACGAAATTCAAGTTTATTGTCTCATAATTATACATATATATTCCATGGTTTCTTACGTTATTATGATTTAAAATATCTTAGTTTTTTTTACATTTTCCTCTTACTATATTGTATTAAGCTTTGATGATATCGAATTGAATTATTGCATTAATTTTTTTTTGTTTCGCAGAAATATTCGTTTTTACATTCTCCTTATTTTTATTTACAATTAAGAATAATACTGTTTTTAAAATTAGATCAATATTTAAATTCCACAACTTAAAGAAAAAAAGCAATTTGTCATGGTGCATTAAAAACAAAAATTTACTTCAATTTAAATAAATCATAAATCAACTGTGGAATATATTTATTGAATCAAAAAAGGCCAGCGTAATTTAAGTCATGTGAACTACATACCATTTGACAATAGAATTATGTGAAATAAACTTTTTGATTATAAATCTCAAACTCTTCATATTCATAGCTTTCTACTCATCAGCAGTTGGTCATTTATCAACATTGATACTTGTACAAAGCAATCTTCAGGTTTCAATGTAAAAGGTATTACTCTTCCATAGTCATGATCATCAATAACTTTCTCTTTCTCGCTTTAATATGATTTTTCTCAGTCGAATGTTATGCAGACTAAAATAATTTTTTTCTGATTAAAAATATTTACATATTCCAATGTGATAGAATGAGTTATATGCATGTATGTATATACATATAAATATAAATAATAAAAGCTGTTCTCTTAGAGCTACATTTCTCTTTGTGTGATAATTCACCATACTTTTTAGACCAAATAATTTATTGCTTTTGTTAATCACATAAAGTGATATGTATTGATCGGTGCGCATATACATTTTTTTGACAAAATAATCAACATTATTTAACTCAGTGGTCGATATATTCGCCTCTATGGTAAATCATCGGATGCCAAGTAGTGACTACTTTGGTTTATACAGTGATTACTGTTTCTCTACATCACGTGATGATAAATATATTAAAATAGCTATAAACATCTAGTTAAATGTATGTATGTTTGCTGTTTTCATTTATTCAACTTAGTGGACTAGAATAATTTGTTTGATGAAAGGTATTCCCCTCTTAGGTTTGATCAGTCACAATCATCAAACACCATGAAGATAACATTAAAAAAAACCAGTAAGTTGGCTTTGAACATATAATTGGTTGGATTTCGGTTATTATGAACAATATCATGTTAGGGATTAGAAAATAAAGCTTCACTGAAAACCATGATATTCAAAAACTATACACTTCTCGTTTCAACTATCATAAAATCATGTGTAACATTTAGAATTTCTTTTTCATGAATAAGAATTTTATTTAAATTTTCTTAAAATTTCATTGAATCATAATTTATGTATGAAATAGTGATAATACGACTGATTCGATTTCATTGGAAACAATAACACTTCCATAATTAAATTATTATTAGTTGATAATAAATGAATTTTCAAGAAATTCACAATCTAAAGAAAAGCGTTCAATAATTCAACTGAATTGCCATCGAATCCCACTGTAAGTTTGTTTGTTTCATTTTTGGCGTTAAAAATTGTAAACGAAAAATAATTGTGTACTTTAACATGACCAGAACACCTTACAACATACTGTCCAGTTTATATAAATGATTACAAAAAGCCAACTTCATCTGATCTCTTCTATTTACCATCGATGCGATTTAAACATGTAGATCGGTCGAAGTATTTGCTGTTTTCGCTTAATCATCCACCACCAATTTAATCATAATTTTTAGAGATATTGGATTTTCAGGAGAGAAGGATAATGGTTAGCAGTGGAATCCAGGAAGAATGTCACCGTATTTGGGACTCGTTAGGTGTATGTATCTGCATTTCAGGGTTGATGTTACAGTGATATCAGCTAGAAGGTAATTGCAGATCAAACAGCATTTGTTTTGTCATCATTATGAGACAGTCCTAGTTAATCGACAACTAAGACCCCAATATAGATCAAATCTAAGACCGGTCAAGTTCAGCAATGTGAATAAAAGTATGAAGGATATAAAATTAAAAAAAGTATTATACTGGGAACTGAGTGATTTTTGAAATGTGGATTAATGATTCATATAGTTTTATGTTGTTTTACCTACTGCTAGATATGTAGGTTTGAGTTTTACGTCATGTGAGGTTGTGGGTATTTACTACCGGGGTGTTTAAAACGGAGGCAAAACAGTTACCTGGTGTTACCTATTCTAAAGTGCTTTACTAAATGATGTCATCTTAAGGAGAAAATTTATTTTAAATGAATGACTGTCATATGGATAGAATCATGTGGATTAGTTACAAGGTGACCGATGTATAAAAATAGCCAATCTAATAATGAAGTTTAGAATCTAAACAAAATGAGCTTAAACACCAATGAAAATATCTTGTATATGAGTATGTTTTATGTGTAGCAGGAATGTAAAAAATGCAGTATTCGTTCTTTTATTTTAGTTTGATGTTCGCTGAGTTGAAAAGCTGTTAGTGAGTAACATCTCAAAAAAGTGAAGTTACCGACTATATGTATGGCTTAGGTTATAGTACTGATCAAACAACAGTAAAATGACATGAGGACACATTAATATCACATTTATTCATACAATAAACTGTCATTAGACAGGATCGAAATGCCACAATATCAGTGCACAACATCAATGCACAATATCATTAGAATGAAGGGAATAGAGATAAACCGACAAACAGATATATTTAGTGATACCATATACAACATCTGAACTGCGAGTCCACAGAATAGCTTCACCATGCCATATCGAATGATTCATTATATCAAAAACAATACAACCGTCAATTACACTAGAAATTAACTGAAGAATTTCATCTTATTTTAAAAACTTAAGATCTAGGATCATTTAGCTATATAATTATTGTTTTGCACTATAATCATACCTCCTTAAAACTCTAGTTCATAAGTTAATTCAGAGTGTCATAAAGATCCTTGACATTAAGCTGGAGGAAAATTTAAACACTAATGTTAGCGTAAATATATCTCTTATAAAGTGTAACTGGCATTATTAACTACTAAATGTATGTGAAGATAATTTACTAAATAACCTCAGGTCACAACACAAAATATTGAAGCTGTTTGGTTGCAGGCTAGAATAAGCTTTTCATCAATGATAAAACCACTGTGCTATTCACTTGAGTTTTTTTCGTAAAATAATACTTGGTTATTTGTAGTGGAATTTATGATCAGAAAGTGGAAGCTTTTGTTCCAAAGAGTGAATGATGCTTATTTTTTGGTGGCTATATTACCATTGTCTCAGAACTATTTATTTGTTCACATTTGAAGAATGTGAACTAATAATTATTAGTATAATCTATATTGTACATTAAGTTCAATATCTATTCATAAATTATTAAAAATCGGCTTTTTACCAAATACAATCAGCTAAAAACGCAGTATCTCCAATAATTATGATAAAAGTGAAAATAAATGATGGTAGACGGATGATTAAGGCAAAACAGAAAATACTACGACCGATTCACATGTTTAGACTGCAATGACAGTAAATAGAAAAATGGAAATAAAGTTGTCTTTTTTTAATCATTTATTTCAACTGCACAGTATGTTGCTGGGTGTACTGGTAATATCACAATATACAATGTAGTCATAATATTTTAATGATGAAACAGGCTTTCATATATTAGCTGTTTTAGTGGCTAGCATTATCTCATCACGTAATTCTACACAGTAAAACAATTTAAATCATGTGATCTGTATAAATTTTAACGATTCATAATGATAATAAAATATAATGTAAAACATTAGGGAAACAATGAAAATTAGCATGACTAATTGTAATATTTTTCTTTCTTCAACTAATCAATACACTTAGAAATGTATCATAGAATGTTTCATTTTGTCTATTGAAAAAGCATTTTATTATCTTATCAGATTGACAAGCGAAATCCATTAAGATGAATTTCTCTTTTGTTATTATTATTATTATTATCATTGTTATTAGTCAGGCATGATAAATAAAAGCAACTTTCCAATGTTGTAAATTTATTCAATAAATGTGGTTAGTGGAATTTTGTGTCCGATGAAAAACATTGGATTTCATTCAGTTTACTGATGAACTTAGAAATATTTACAGACTTTGAGTGATTTCTATGTAATGAAAACTAGAATATTATACTTTTAGTTAACTTTTACACAGAAAAATTATTTATTTAGACTCAACAGTTTTGTATTTACCGTTTTCCTAATATAAAGCTTATATTTTACTAGTAGTATAAATATTCAAATTTTTGGCTTATACATATATATACATATCATTCGTGAATTTAACAGCGGATTTGAATACAACTATAGGATTTCTTAATCCTATTAAAAAAATCTCAGCACTGATCTCAAAAAGATGTTTTTATAAACAGAACATATTTTGGTTCTTATGATTATGATGTAATATGAAGTTAACAAGGATATTTACAAATATTCTTCAGAAATCGTGAATGGTAGAAGTGACAATCTTATAATATTTTATGAAAGATATTTTTCTTCAATAAGTCTAGTATTTGCAAGAGAGGGGTACAGAGTTTAATCAAGGCATGTAGTATAACATGCAGGCCTTAATAAGTATATAACTTCATTCTTTTTGCTGACAGTCTGTTGGCTTAAACATTCATGACCGAGTAAGACTTATTCAGGTGAAACTTCAGTGAGATTTCGTGAAAAGCTTATCTGCTTAAATGAAAGCAAATAGTTCGAACTGACACAGAAATATTCGGAATACAATTTTCGACCTTGTTTTTGATGAATGAAGAATAATGAATATGGAAAACCAGTATCATAATATACGGACAGCCTAATGGGCGACAAACGAGATAGAATATCTAAAACGATCATGTAAGTAATCCAGTTCTCGATAAACCATTTACTCAGTCATTGCAAAGAGATGATTAGAGCTAGGGAGTTAAAGAAAATATACTGATATAATCATTATCGGGAACATTTCCTTATTGATTCAAACGTAATTATAAATGTCATATATGCAAGATTCTAATATCATGCAAAACAAATTCTGAGGCTGATATTAAAATTGAAGAATTAATTCCACTTAGGAAGTAAAAAGATAACTAGGCATGTTTGCTTTTTTCCTGTACTAAAATATGATTGAAATTAATAAAGAATGAGAAGGATAATAAGAAAAAAAATGTCCGAAATCCGTCTAGAATTTGTAAATAAACAAACTAACTTGAAATAGTTGTTAGTTGTTGAAAAAATATTAACAGTACCAAATATTAATAGGTATTTTATTTACAGCATTAGAAATTTTATTCAATGCCAACATTTATTGACTGATGTTTATATTTATCAATAGTATGAAAAATATTTCATCAATTGTTTACATTAATTTAGTCCAACGGATAAAATTTCTAAAAATCCAAAACATAGTAATGACTAATAGAGTTTTGTTAGGTGATTAATTGTCATAACTCGAAAAGCAATACTAAACATATGCAATGTTAAATCACTAAACCAAAAAAAGAGAATACAAAGAAAGTAATCCCTGAAAGGTTTATCTGGTCAGTAGTGTTATTTTTATTAGTTTACAAATTCGGATTGAACTTCTCGCTTAAACTTTTAGTCTCCCTTTTTGCTACTACTACATAATTTCTCAGTCATTAGTTATTAATGTGACTGACCTCTTTCAAGAATCCGTTCTGGTATCAATTTTAAGAAATAATGTTTTTGATTTTATTAAAATTTTAATTTTGCATTCAGAAGTTGAATATTTTGAACCGTTAATTTCACAGAAATTATTGAAATAAATCATTGATTAGAGTGTAAGTTTCACTTACTGCATTGATTCTAAGATGTTTAAAAATTTGATGAGAATTAGTTTGATAGAATGAATTTCTTTTCCTCTAGTCGTGCTCAGAACAATTAAACAATCCAATTATATTGCAATTTTACAAATTTAACTGTAAATCGTTTCGTTTTATTGATGACTGTCGTTTATGTTTACTTTGAGTGTGATGATGAAATAGACTGAGTTATTAACATCAGAAACGTTGCATTTTTAATAAAGAAAGTTTTGTCAGAAAAGCAAAACGCTTATCATTTATCTCAACGGTCATAAGATACACGCTGTATTTAAACCAAAAAAAAACAAACATGTAAAACTAACCTGAACTATCTCTATTGTTATTCGACATTCGTTTGATAGCTTTCTCTAGACGATTTTCAAAGTTCTCTATATCATCTATACATTGGTTAAGCATATAAAAATTTCGTCCACAATCATATCCAGTAGTGTTGATTTTCTTCAAAAAAAAGAAAATAATAATAATTTTTTGTTGTCTTCAGGTGATCAAGAAATGAATTTCATGCATAAAAATTATTCAATGCTAAGTAAATCAAAAGTATTTTGAAAAATGATATTAATTCTATTGTTCTAATGAAGAAAATCTGAATGATAGTTCAATGTAGTGAGTGTTTTTCTAATCTATGATTTCATTTATTCAAGGTGTACAATCAATCGTATTTATGATGATTTAAAAATAGGCAGCTGAAAAAACATATATTGTTCGTAAATTTTAACCATCACAATAGGATAGCATAGCGATCTATAAGTTTGATTAAAATTATAATATATAGCTTATATGGAGATTAATTGTCTTCTAGACATTTATGAGAAAGGTAAAAAATAAATTTAAAGTATGAAGGCACTAATAAACATTTTAAAGCTTGTTAATTTAAAGTAACATTCTAAACGTTCATTGAAAAAGCTCACTAAAAATCGTCACTTGTTTATTTATTAGATGTACTAGTGATAAGTAGGCAATTAATGAGTGGTTGTAAATCACCGTTTACAGAATTAAGACGAAATGGAACAAAAAGTAATCAACTTATAATTATTCAAAAGATATACCATACGTTTTGTATATCTTCTGAAAAAATTACTAAGAGCTAACTAGTGAATAATTGCAAGTACTTATTGGCCCATTAATTGGAATTATTTTCTCAACATCGTATTACATTTATCACGAAAACAAAAAGATTGAACGAAAAAATGTAAATATACATGATGTTATTTTCAGTCAGAGTGCAAAAGAATACTTCTGAGACTATATTGACTTTGGTCAAAGGTTTCTGGAAATCAGAAATTTATACACTACATAACAAGTAAAGTTTACATACACGAATACATTCAATACAATGATAAAACGAAGGCTTGTTCGAAAACATTGAGAAGATTAAATTCAACTCAAGTATGTACAAGTTTTCGTTTTTTGAAACCTGAGAAACTAACCAATCAGTTTTAGCATAAAAGAACAACACTTATAAAGCAGTAGTCTTTGCAACCTAAGATTCTGATTAACTCACTTTTTGTTTTTTGGTTACATAGTAGAGTGTAATGGACTGAATACCCATAATTTTTATAGAGTCAAATTAGGGCGACTTTGTAAATGAGAACAAAGAATCGGTTGTCAATCTCCTTGTTCTAGAATTATATTTACTAATGGTGATGTGAATATCCCGGTTGGCATGAAGTGTTCAACTGTATGACTGCATTTATCACTAAGTTTATGCAATGGTTGTATAAAATTACTCTGTCGATTTGGTTATGCTTTTTTCGTATTTGTGAAATTGGAATTGAATGGATCATTCTATCATGATAAACCAAGCTACTTTACATAAATACTGATATCCAATTGCGAGTGTATATGATATCGGGTAGTGAAAAGAAACCGCAAAAAACTCTAACATTTAGTTAAAACCATTCAGGGAAATGATGTAGCACTCAAGAAACTTGATCACATTGTTCCAAACGACAGAGAGGGGTTTACAGATTACTACCTTCTTCATAAAACCATCGCATTCATAAGGCCGTTATTTCTACTGGCAGAATACCCGGCATTTTGTTGAACAGATATTGTTTATCAATAAACCTTGTTTTTTTCAAGTTGATTTTTAACCACGACCATAATAACCAGTGAGTGCTATTATGTGGGGAAAATTGTTGGTCTTGACTACGGTAGACATTTATGTAATAATTTGTATAATCATAAAGATAGACTTCTTATAAAATTATACAGGTAACTATATTTCTATAGTTCTGGTACAGTGTTTAATGTTTTCTATTGTAAAAAAACGTTAGACAGTATCATAAACAATTCGTATGCTAGTGAATGTAGTATAAATGGACATTCATGAAAATATATACACAAATAAAATTTATGTTACAAATAATCTTATTAAATAATTCCACAGGAATGTATTGCAGAAATAACGATGTCAGAACTGATTTTTGATAACAAAAACACCGAAAGTTGAAATTATTGTAGCGATATTTTCATCTTGGTAATACTGGAATAGTAAATTATCAGTATTTTGTTTTCAATACGTAGAAAAGTAAATAAAGTGTAAAATGTTCAGCAGCTGAGTGATGACTGTTAGTTTGAAATGTTTCAGTAATGATATTATGTTTTCTTATTTCTGTAATTTACTATCAATCAAACTTAATAGCTGATTGGCTTGATTAACATTCAAATACGAAAACTCTGTATACACTGAGAAATTATGACCTTTAAATTCAAAGAGCAGAATACTACAGTTTGCTATTTTCTTTCATCAGAAATTGATCGACATTGGTAACGATGATGAGAAATTTCGCGAAAATAGATTCAAAAGAATTATTCTTGGTAATTTATGATCAATAATGTATTAGTCAATCATTGTAGAGTTGGAGAGTTTTCACATAATAGGAATAGTCTGTGTGCGAGATAGTAGTCCTAATGTGGCAGCGATTGGGGATTGTTATTAGTACATAAGATTTTATGGAGATTATAGATTTTTAATGATTTTATTCACGATTTCAACTGAGGTTTTCTCTAAAAAATGTTAGATAGATGGCCAAATTACATTTTAATATTCACTGATTATTATGACGTTTTGTGCTGACAATCAAGATTGAAATTCTAGTACCAAAGAAATACTAAACATTGGGGGCCGTCAGGCCTTTTGACATTAGTAAAAATGTGCTTTGAGTTATTCACTGCACAGGATCTAAATAACATCTTCAGGGTCAACTATTAATGTGGCATACAGACTTTGTCACTGCATCTATTTAATGAAAAAACTCTATGAGATGTGGCTAGGGGATCGTTTATTCTTTTGGAGATATCCCCATCCTTTACATCGTTCAAGAAGTTTGAAATTTATGCCTAACCTTCAGTTATTCACCATCATTCTGAAAACAGAATAAAAAACCCGGTAAAGTTACGTACGCACTGAAAAAGGCGTTTCCATTATTCTTGTACTAGAAAGGAAATAAGTTTATAAAAGCGGTGGTTACGACTATTGTATATCGCTAAACTAAATTTCTGAAAAATGCATTACTAAAAACGACTGTTAACCAGTTGACAATCACCAATGATAATCACGTTTCGTTTGTTAGGGAGTACGATTTAGCCGAAAAAGGCAGTGTTATCAAGTTAAAGTTAAGCGTGTTTGGTGTTAGATACCCCACATTCATCCAAAAACACACGGCTGGAAGACTGCGAGGACTCATCTTATTTATGGTTCAAACCCAAATTGTCCAACACTGCAATTAAACAAGTCATCGATAAGTTATTTTAGTAGTGACAAATACATTTTTAGAGCTCAATAAGTATTGTATGATGATGTAAGTCATCGTAATCTGTAGTATCGATAAGATTTTATAGTTTTGATATATGTACACTATGTGAATTATTTCAAGCTCACTTTTAAAGGACATTTTTAGTGGATGCTTATTTTTGGATAAATGTATATTTCTATCTTTAACTTATCACAAGATAACCAAACAATTAATTTGTCAAAAGCTGCATACTTTATAAATTCATGAAATAATTAAGTTGTAAACTCAAAAATAACTGAAGGGTACTCCAGTGATTGCCACGTAAAACTTTACCTTCTATTCAAAACTTTCGAAATAGTTAATTACTAGGTTATTATTTTTGAAAATACTTTATCGACATTGCAAAGAACATCTTGATTGTCGAAATATCAGTTAACAAAAAGCTACTTGTATAAATGAAATATGAAACAAATTCTATTGGATCCTAAAGCACAGACAATCAACATGAAAAAATATAGATTTCGGACAACTATTAAACACCCGCTAAACAAGATAAGGTGAAAAACTGTGAAGTGTGAAAACTTCTAACTGAGAAGAAACAATCAAACATTGAGTTTTTGTTTCAGGATTCAGATGCTATTTATTTAATATCAATTCATCATGATGTCAAAATATTTTTTCACAAGAAACGATTTTGAAGAATCCGTTGAGTAGAGATTCTGCGGATATATCTTTATGTTCGAAGTGTTACGCGTTTCAGAGTATTGTTTATTCACGAGAGTTCTCAAAATTGAAGAGATCAAATGGATGAACAAGTGTATATATATCACTACTGGTTTCTTATGAAGGGTAGGGAATCATGTAGTCATGGAAAGTAAAAGTGTTAGTGTCTCACAAAAATTTTTGACAACTTCCATATGTAATTTAAATCTTCCAAAGTCAATGTTCAGCATTTTGTTAATATTATTCTTATTATTATAATCACTGACAGTGCTGTTTAAATGATGATAAGGGATAACAGAATATGCACAATCAATTTTTACATCATTTAGTTGCAATAAAGGATCTTGATATCGTATATGTAGTACGAGGAATTGTAAACCTGATAAATCATCTACATATGAATAATAAAACAATGTTTAGACATGGTGAAAAAAAATAAATGCAATATAAAACCAACTTGCTTTATTTGCCTGTTAAATAAAAGGAAACCTTAAACCTGTCTATGAAAAACCATGGTAAAAATAGTAGACAATAAACCAGAGATCAGAAAATCTGAAGCAGTAAGTCGACAGTCACAAATCTAAGAATTATTTGATGATAAGACTAGATTGGAGGTTTGAGATTTCAAACTAATTGAAATGTAAACATATGAACTACTAATTATTCTAATTAATCTTAAAACAACGAACCTGAGAATAACCAGGGATTGACATCATTGAGCAAGAAAAGACGAGAAATTATACTACAGGAACAAGATCAAAACGTATTCAGTACAATAGGAGAAGTAAGAGCTGAAAATGCTACATAATAATAAGTTTTATAGCTCTATTCAGTTTATGACCTTCGGTTACTTTACCATTTAAATAAACGTCACAAACATAAAGTCAATTCAGCCTACAACAAAAACGACCACTCGATGTCTTATTGAAAGTTCCCATTTTTTATGAGCGTAAATGGTCAGAAGCAAGTATATAAGCTTCTCATATGGTTGTTTTCCCTTAAGTATAATAACTTTTCTTTGGAAATAACCGATTGCATTTAATTATGTTTATCGTTCTAGTGACTCCGTACTGTTTACAGCTTACAGTAGGTCAAAAAATGGATTTATTTTATTTACGTGTGATGATGCTGTCATTTTAATAGTATTATATGAAAGTAAAGGTTATTTAAATGTGCTCTCCTCTGAAATCCTCAAATTTAATTATTCAGACTATTTTCTTAAAAAAAATGTGACAGTTTTGAATTCAGTCTGATTATCCCCTCAGGCAGGTATGAAACTACGTTTCCGAATGCTCATATTGTAATACTAGTCAATTTTTGTCAAATCCATTTTAAAAATACTTTGACTAAGATAATGTAAAATAAATGGAGTGAAGCTGCGATCTATCATTTAAGTTGACCAGAAGAAGTTCAAGAAGTATGTATAAAAATATTAAGTTTTGTTTGGTGTATCAAAAACCATGTACAGAGTATTCAGCTAGCATGCTAAACCAGTATATTATTACTAAACATGACTTCGTGAAGCTAGCTCTATTTGTTTAGGATGTGTTTTGAGAATATACTGCTAAAGTCGAAACCAGAGAATACAAAATTCAAAATTTATCGTGGTCTATTGTACAGACAATGTCTGAAGTCACCCGTTACCAAAAAGACGGACGCGTTTGTTAAATGCAAAAATATTCTGAAGCATATTCAGTAAAAATAAACTCACTTCTTCTGATTTACCTCGCCGCAAACTGAGTTCAGGACTTTTCATGCTGTCACCATTTGAGTTCAGTCCTCTATAATATAAAATCAGTTTGAACGGTATCTTACAGGACTGCTCTTTTCTGATTATATATGGAATCTACTAGTAGTTTAGCATCTTCTTTCGTTTCACAACTGAAGACATGAACCTCAGATTCCTCATGCCTGAGCTCTGAATTGTACTGTGAGCATCGAAATAAGATGAGGTAGCCATACTGAAAGTCTTCTGAGCGTTTAAATATCGCAGCTTGGTCACTTATAGAAGACCACTCAAAAAACTCCACGACTTCCTTGAATATATGTTATTACAAGGCATATAGATTTACCTTCGAAAATTTCAGTTCAATTAAAATTCCCTTTTTATCCAGTATAACCTTACATGGTGTCTCATCAATACGACCTCCCCCATGTAATAAGTTTATGTGATGAACAACACTGCTCGGTGAGAGCCTTTCCTCACCTTCGATGAAGCTTGCAATGTGATGCGCTTTGAAAGTTAGATCGTCTCTACATTGGTAAGAGTTTAACTAGTTATTTATAAATGTCATTACTTATGGACACGCTTGTTCCTCATCTCCTTAACAGATCAATTTACCTCACCTCTCAGCTAAAATAGTTAGCCTGATAAAACACACCCACAATAGTTATTTAGTTTTAATAAGTTAAGACAAAACTGTCAAAAAGGCTTTTAATCCTAGTGAACAAAACCTGTAAAAAGATACATCCTACTTTCAAAATACGTTTCTATGTCTATACGATATAGTTTGATGAGATAGTTTCATTCTATCACTTCTCAGTTATATGCAATATATTTTTCACGAGATAATATGAGCCAGTCGGTTGATATGTGTTCGGTTCCCGTTCTTTCGGCACCGATCGGGACATTATGTAGATTTTTCATCTTTGACGTTTTCCTTACTATAACTCTCAAGTAGCATTGCTAACATGTTCATTTGTTCCCAAACTACAATTGGCCTTGACATATCGCTTATTGTAATACAAAGTAGGACTTCTATCTGTAGGCACCATGCTACATCAGTTTTCTATTCGTGGCTAAATGCGTAAGCGTGAGAGTGTTGGCGGTACCATGTACAACAGGTGGTCCGCCGAGGTTTCGTGATTGTGAGATGTATCTAGTTTAGTTACCATGCCTTCATCTTAACATTACTCAAAATGGATGTGTCGATCATTCTTCATATAGTAATGGGCTTGACAAAGTGCTTTTAAATGATTTGTACTTCTAAAGCTTACAACTAACAAACGGGAACCTTAGAAATTAGAAGTATGATGGACAGGGAGTGTGTATTCCTACTTCCAGGCTGCCTGAGAACCTCCATCACACACGTAAGCTGTTTCTGTGCCCAAAGTACCATTGAGCGTAAATTCTGTTGGCTTTACTGTTCACAGAACCCTGGTTAGTTAAATGGGTGTATTTTTTTGAAGTACATATTCGCATAAAGGAACCATGGGCATAGGTGGTTTATGATAAACACATTGTACTACATTATTACAGTTGAGTTAATTCCAGAAAACACGAAGGTTGCAATTACATATCGAGTCTCTGATTTCAAATGGTATTTCCAAATTTCGCTATGGTGTTTCCTTGAAGAAGGGTCAGTTGATTTGCGAAAACCTAAACAACAACCAAATGAAATTCTAATTCTGGCACCACACGCCTTTATGCAAACTGCGAGCGATCGATCAAACGTATCATTTTGAGTACAATTATAGCAAATTTTATGATGGACCTTCACTTTGTAGGGCTTCCACCGGTAAATCTTAGGAAAGCCAAACCAAAAAAGTAGATACGAAAATATTCAGCACCAAAATTTTAAACAGACTGGTTCAAAATTCGAGTAAAGAAAATCTATCCCAAACACAGTAAAATTATTGAGAATGATGGTGCAGGTCGACAATCAATTACACACTTCGGCACCCTTCCTTGACAGTAAGCACATATCGTTGTTGCATTTAAACTAACAACATTTTTGAGTCCCTTTTTTTGTGGTCTCCCTTAGTTTTTTACTTCTCACAAAAATAACGAAATCGGTAATGCGTCCGAAAGTTTTCTTCGGTTCCTACTTAGGCAGTAGCTTATGGTGTTTCAGGTGACTGGTCAGTATGGTCTACACTGATCTGAGATTCAGTTCTTATTTCACTAACCTAAGACAGTCACGCGCCTGCTTCGAACTTGCTGTGCCCTCAACGACTAATTATCATTTTTAAAAAATCGTTCAGTTTTGGACAGCAGATTGGGATATTTAATCATCTCCGAAGATATAAAAGTTATCTTCATTCTTTGATAGACAATCTGATTACTAGTTTGGACAAACGGGGTCATTTTCATGTCACAACCACAGTGCCATAGCTCTAGCTGCCTCAGTCAACTGCCCTTTTACTAGTTGCTCAGGCAACATACACACATTCATTCACTCGCAAAGACAGGGCTTGTGAAAAGGTTACTCGATCCACGCGAAGTTGCTTGCTTGGACGGTCAAAGGTTAATTTGCAATTTTTTGTGACTTTCAGGTCTTAGTTTTTCATTATTAAGTTTAATATTAATATTTTCCTCCTTCCAAAACTCCTAACTTGCCTATCTTCACTTTCCTATTATCTTGTTCTTTTGTCCCTTAATCTCTCTGGTATCATGCTAAGTAAGACGGTTGCTACCACTTCCTACATTATAACAATAATAATAATTTATTCTCAAATAACAACATGTCACAAAGGGCAAAACTAATGCACGCTGAATCGAGGTCTTCATATAAGAAGAACGGATGGGGTAAATGTGTAAAGATCTTGTTCAGCCTCGTTAGATGATAAAATGACCAAGTCTTCGGCAATTACCAGGGCTCATATTTAAGGAGTGTGACGAAATTTTGAAAAAGGGAACTAAACAGAAAACGGTGACGAGAAGAACAGAAAGTATTTGTGTTTAAAGCTGAGTCATAACTCAGCAGACAATATTTATTTAAAAAAAGGGCATGATTACTCAGGTATTTCTTTTTCTATATTAGAACACTAGCTCTACACCTGCACTTATGTAGGCTAATGGAGAGAAGTCACTAGTAAGATGAAGATCTGGCAAATAATCTTATAAATAAAGAAGATTAACAGGAACAGAATTGTTAGAAATAATGTTGATTTTACAGAATATTACGATGAAGGCATAGCGGTCTGATGCTTTTTGCATTTGTTTTTTTAACGCTGTAGCTCAAGAAGTAAAGAGTGAGTCATTTTTTACTTTGATTGTCCAAATCTGCTTGTAATGGAATTTCTTGGTAGAAATTGAAACCAATGCTAGGTTACAAACATGAGTCGCAGTAGTGGTTGAGCATGGAAAAGTAACATCGGTATCATTGACTAGTTGCATCCTACTATGTCACAAGGAGCCACTAGCAAAGAAAATGATCTGCGCCACAGTGATGAATTCTGGTGAGATACAACAACTAGGAAAACCAGTAGAGGTATGAATAATGATAACTGTGAGTTGAAAATCTTAGTACTAATCGACAGATTTCCGAAAAAGCTCAAAACATCACCTAATGGCGTACCTTGGAGCATTGTGAACAAGTCGCATCACTCGACCCAAACACCTACACTAGGTCCCCAACATAGAAACCAAATCTATACTCTTCAGATTCTTGCTACTAGAAATACCAGTACGCAAAATAAGAATGGGCAAAAGGGGTGCCCTTGGGCTGAACCGATAAAGAAACCGCACAAGGATAAGTGCATTGCCTGCTTGAGACTAGTCAAAATCAGTGACTCTGATTTGAACTCAACTTCTGCATTACATGGGTCCATAGTCCCTGAGACGCTACAGCACCTATGAAGTACTGCAGTTTCATGCTTAGTTAGCTCTGTCCGTGCTTCTGTTATATCTGCTAACAGGTCAAAATCACCGAAACATCAAAACGCTAGCATTATTAAAGCCACGGGCTCAACTGAAAATCTACCTACAAATACCCAAAGGTAAGCTTTACTCATCCACCACTAAATTAATGAAACCGGTGAAAAGGAAGCTATAATCTGAACCAACCATACTTATTAATACTACGGAGAAGTGGGTGACCTGTTCAGGCGTTCACTGGAGTCACACCAAGTCTCAGCCGACTGGAAACAAGCTACTCTCTCCTCGATCTTCAAGGAAGGAGGTAGAAAGGATCCAGCCTGTTACAGACCAGTCGCACTACTACCAATATTATCAAAGGTTATGGAAGGACTAGTGAACGAACAGATGAGGGAGTACACGGATAAGAATAAAGTACTCCATGAAGCTCAGCACGAGTTTCGGAAAGTCAGGTCGTGTGCATCTAGTCTTCTCATCGCATGAGACAGTTGGACATCCTGCTTGGACCGTAAAATACCGGTGCACGTGATATTTTTCGACTTTACGAAAGCCTTTGACACAGTACCCCACGCACGCCTAATCGAAAAGGTTGTGGGAATGGGCTTCACTGACCCGCACCTATCTTCGCTCAGAAACTACCTTGAGAATAGAAAGTTTTGCAGTAAGGTAAACAGAGTCCACGCGAGCCGGCGAGTATCCACATCTGGAGTTTCACAGGGGACCATCCTAGGCCCACTTCTCTTCCTGATACTTATTAACGACCTGCTAGGCTTAGTTAGCTAACCGGCGTTGATCTATGCAGATGTTGAGAAGATCTGGAGGTCTATTAGAAGCGAAGAGGATTCGACTGAGCTTCAAAAGGACCTTACGTCTATTGAGAAATGGGCAGTAAAAAACGGTTTAAAACTCAACCAACCGAAGTTCCACGTCATGCATCTCCTGCCTCACATGACGCGAACGACCTATACTCTCAATGGAAGTCCGCTCCCTAATGTCTCCTCAGAGCGCGATCTTGGTTTAATAACCACAGAAAGCCTCCACACCAGTCCAAACTATGTAGGGGATGCAGCCAAAGCAAATGAGACTCTTCACTTTATGCGAAGACAGCTTGCTGCTATCACCCTTGTTTAAGATGTATGCGCGCCCACACTTGGAGGTTCACAACGTCATCGCACCCCCTCTGCTTAAAAGAGACATAAATCTCTTGGATCGAGTACAAAGACGAGCGACCAAATGGGTGATAGTGTTGAAAAATAAACCCTACGACGATGGACTCCAGCTCTTGAGATTATTTCCATTGAGCTACAGGAGAATCAGAGGCGATCTGATTATGGCGTACACCATATTAAATACGCCAAACTATCCCAATGTGAGCATCTTACCAATGCATCACCACCACTCCCCTCGAGGCAATCCTCGAAAGATTGCACATCAAAGAGCAAATACTCAGATTCGTGCACACTTTTTCTCATTGCGAGTCGTCGCAACTTGGAATGCTCTCCCAGCTGAGGTGACCATAGCCCCCTCAGTGGACTGCTTTAAGAAGAGACTTGATAATCACGTACTCACATACGGACTATCATCTCCCTCTTGGACAAGCTGTGCCTGATGCATATCTTGAGACCTGCTAGTTGTTACCATTGCCATCTCCTCAGATTACTCAATTAATCTATCTCGCCTATTATCTCTGTTTCCTCTCCCTTGCTTACACTTCGGTCCTCTCTCACAATCCTCACTACCAATTAACA